TCAAATGCAGTCATCGCCTTGCCTCATCTGCGTCTGCTTACATATCTCACCTCATCTCTCACAGTAAAGCCAAAGAGCCTGTCCAAGAAGGGTTCGTTCACCAGCTTATCCATTTGCTTCAGAGCATTGGCCAGCAAAAGGGGCCGCAGAGTTCAAAGATATTGAAAAGGTATATCATGTCCAATAATAACATGTGAGAGCACCTGGCTAATCAAGCGCTCTTTCCTATAATATAGAAAAGAGCTTGAAACAACGTTTGGCCCAACAACATGGCAAAGACAGTCTTATGACGCCTTTCAAGCTGCTGTCTGTTCAACGGACCCGGTAGCATTTCCATGTGTGTATGCCACCAAGGGCTTCAAGGCCAAGGAGCACCGATACATCTTCCTGGACTCCGAAGATATGAACAACAAGAAGAACATCGACAGCTTGGCCGCTGCTCTCAAAGAATATCTCACCACGCCGCAATCTGAACTAGGCCCAAACACCAGCCTTGTCGTTCTTTTCCCGATCGTTGACTCCCGGCTGACGGCTCGAGATTATCACCAGAAGTACTGGGACTGCCTTCGCGCTCTGAGAAAGGTTGACACCAAGGCATGGCCTGCAAACATTCCAACGGACACCGACACCCCGCTCTGGAAATTTTGCTTTAATGGTGAGCCTGTGTTCAGTGCAGCCATGACGCCCTCCCACGAGAAACGAAGATCGCGATATGCGCCATGTTTCTGTATTGTCTTCCAGCCAAACTTTGTATTTGATATTCTCTTTGCCACGGAGTTGAAGAAGAAAGCAGCTATCTCAAAGGTTCGGGGTCTGTTGGCCGACTACGACGAGGTGCCGATTAGTCCTGAATTGAAGAACTACGGCGATGTTACCGGCAGAGAGAGCAAACAATACTTCATCATGGATGAAAATCATTCATCCCCGCCATGCCCTTACTCTTCACTTGATTAACCTCGTTCTATGTCGTGTTTAATTTGAGGGTTCGATGCTTTGGTGATGGGGGAAGACACATATAGATGGTTTTATAGATCTCATCAAGATGGAAAAAAAATAGAACTGCCAGGGGAAAGCAGTAGTAATAGCCGTGTTTACCTCTCTAGGTCAGAGAACTTTTGATATCATGCTCGATTGGGCATCAATGTTATTATCGATGAAACTCCAAGCAAATGCCTCAGCTGTCTCAGTATAGGCCGACTCTCGGCGAAAAGGTCCAACGGAAAGTAGTTATCAAATAGAGAACCGATGATTGGTAGAAGATGGTATATGAGGACCGGGCCGGTGAGCTATAGAAAAGACGGGAAGGAAACCCGCAGAAGGGCGTCTAAAATTAGAGCTCACGTGACATCTCTCCAGCCTGACCCTCCGTCATGATGGTCAATTTCCTCGTGTTATATCTCGGAAGCCATGTAGCCATCCTGTTTCTTATCTGTACGAGTCTACTGCAAGAATGGCGTCCAGCAGTGGCATGACCCTACGGTCTTGTCCGTTGCTCCTGAAGTGGCCCAATCAACTTGTTCCACAACCATGTTCAACCAAGCCGAGAGATAGTTATTAGTACGGAACAAGGTCGGCATGGCTACCTATCCCTTCAATCGCAACTTGGCGGTGACTGGACGGGGGTACAAGGCTCACAGGCCGTTCTCACATCGACTGTATCATCTTGTACAGCTGACATGCCGACTATCAAAGAGCTAAGCAAGGAAGAAGCAAGATACAACCCGGCTATCAAATCGGATCTAACACAGGCGAGAGAAGGAAATATATGTATAATGATAAAATAAAAAAGAAAGAGCATTTATCGGAGCTGGCACTGGTTTCTTCTGATGGGTGGAATATAATATCCTTCAGCCACATCGTCTAGCTTGAGCCCAGCCACAGGTCGCAAATATATCAGCCTTATCCGTAGCATCCACCGGGTACTCCGTGCTCTCGTTGTATGTCGAGTACTCTCAAGTAACAGTAACCCGTAAACCCTCAAGACTTCCCTCAAAGAAAAAAGCATCTCCTACCATCCCAGACTTCTTTTAATTTGCAGCTCTTTTTTTTACATTTTTTGGTGGCGGAAATTCGCGCCTACGCCAAGCCGCGCTAGTCCTTTCTTGTCGCAAAGTTTTCTTCTTTTTTCCTCGCGAAAAGATAAAAAGGCCGCGCTGAGTCAGCAAGAGCCGGTTAATAAGCCCGTTGGGTCCGCTTTCAGTTTTTCTTCCTTTTTTTTTTTACCGACCGCCACCGCAACAGCTTTTTGCACACAACTTAACAAAACCACCACCACCACGTCTTGACCAACGCAGCTCGAGAAACCTGCCATCGTCGCAGCTAGACGGTTGTTTTACCTTAAGAGGCAGAAACTAGTCTGCCGTTGGATCATCCGCGAGAGGTCCTTTGTTTAGATCCTGACCGTTGACTTGAGACGGAGGAGCAGGGAGTCACAACAGACGCGACAGCCCTTCCGCTTAACCCTTCATCCAGCGACTCTGGAGCTTCGACGCTCCCATTCTGAAAACTCAGGCAAGTTGGCGGGGCTTAACTACGCTCAGAACTCCTTCCTCCACCCTCTCCTGGGCCCAAAGTTCCGGGTCTTTGTCGGGGGAGACATTCGACCTCCATAACTTGACTCCCGCAAATATATGGCAATACGCGAAGCAATACACGTTGAACAGACTCAGCCAGCCCTTCCTCGAGGGCTAGGCTGGACCGGACTATCCAACTGAACAAAAAAAAAACTAAGTGACCTTTTTTTGGTGGCCGCTTTTTTGAAATTTTTTTTTTTTCAATATTCACATTGTCGTTCGAGGGCTGCAAGGTGAGCGCTGTTCTGGCGTTCACGCTTCCGCAGAACCAATATAGACCAGCATAACAGGATATATTCTGCAATTGGATACTTTAACAACATCAAGAGGGCGAACTACACCATGAGCGACTCGCCAAAATCGGACAAGGGAGATACCAGGTACCGCACGCCTGCTCCAGAGTTGGACGACCACCGGTTCCAAGCCGAAGGTCTGCCCAGAGCGGAGACCATGGAGGGTCCGACTGTGCGAAGCTCGACCGAAAATCACGGCCGGCCCGAGCTTCTAGTCCCGGTCGCCGGAAATGGAATTCTAGACGGGAGCCCTAGATGCAGAGATTTCGAACATGCTGTTATGGACGAGGATGAGGAGGAAAGTTTAGACAGACTTGGGGCCAGGAGGGTCTCTGTTAACCCAATGGGCTCTCGCCTAAGCCCGAACGATACCCGTCGCCCCTCAATGACATCCTCTCATACCTCCATTTCGACCTCCCCGCCAAACTCGGTCGAGGCCTTTGCCGAACCCCGTCGACGTGAACGAGCAAACACAATGGAAAGCCAGATGCCAGGAGAGCGTGAACTCAATCTCCATCGTACCATATCTGCCACTTCCCACCACCGCAAACCAACTTTCAGCAACGCTAGTGTGGTCCGTCCCGGCAGTGTGGACATTCGTGTCAACCCAACGGAAGAGGCAGACGTGTGCTTCCCTCCTCCGCCATTCGAAGAGCCAGGTCGTTCGCCAATAATTGATTATGAGGAGCTGGAAGAGTTTGTCGCTCTCAGCAACAAGGTCAACGCCGAGAACCGCTCAGCACATCGTCCAATCCCACGCAAACATAGTATTAGCACGCAGAGCAAGCATACCTCCGGTTTTCCGGGTCTCCACAAGGGGAATAGCCATGTCGATGTTCCTGACATTATAATGACTCCGTGCTCCCAAGAGGAATCAAACGAGACCGTCCAGCTGCCCGTAGATGATGCCAAAAATTCTAGCTCTGACGAACCAGAGGGCGAAAAGGATGGCCTTGAGACCCTGAAAAATACTAATAGTCCACAACGCTTCAGCTTTTTCTCCTCTGAGTTTGAAAGCACCATCCATGCCGCTTCGATTGGAGATCTTGTCCTTCCCGGCGACTCGTTCCGTGACCTTTTTCAGCTTGGACCGGATGGAGGCGTTTGGTGGCTTGATGTCGTCAACCCGACCAATGATGAGATTGGTGCTATTTCTCGCGCCTTTTCCATCCATCCTTTGACTGCAGAGGACATAATGACCCAGGAAGCACGCGAGAAAGTTGAATTATTCCGCCAATACTACTTTGTTTGTTTCCGTACCTTCTACCAGATGGACAAGACCAGCGAAGACTATCTAGAACCTGTCAACTTATACATGGTGGTGTTCCGGGAGGGTGTTATCTCTTTCAGCTTTATTGATAACCCACACGCGGCTAATGTGAGGAAGCGAATTGGGAAACTGCGTGAATATGTATCCCTGAGTAGTGATTGGATTTGCTATGCTATGATGTAAGTTTGCGTAGTGCACCTTCATCTTATTGTGTTTTGTCTTCGTCTAACTAATCTTGTAAAAGTGACGACATTGTTGACAGCTTTGGCCCTGTGATTCGTGAGATCGAAATTGAATCTGAAGCCATTGAAGATCACGTCTACGTTGCCCGAATTGAGGATTTCAATCTTTTCCTCCCAAAGATCGGTGGCCTACGTAAGAAAGTAATGAGTCTTATGCGCCTTCTTGGTGGGAAAGCGGACGTCATCAAGGGTTTTGCCAAGCGCTGCAACGAGCAATACTCAGTCACACCCCGGGGTGATATCGGGCTTTACCTTGGCGATATCCAGGACCACGTCGTGACCATGATGTCGAGCTTGGGTCATTTTGAAAAGATGCTCAGCCGCTCGCATGGTAACTACCTGGCTCAGGTCAACGTGACGAACATCATGGTTGGTAACAGGGTGAACGAGGTGCTGAGCAAGATCACTTTCCTGGCCAGTATTCTCGTCCCGATGAACCTGATCTGTGGTCTTTTCGGAATGAACGTGCATGTCCCTGGTCAGCACGATGATAGCCTCCACTGGTTCTTTGGCGTTGTGGGAATCATCGTTCTTATCTCCATTGTCAGCCTGACCTTTGCTCGTCGATACAAACTCGTGTAAAGGCTCTGTCAAGCATGCCGTTGTTGATTCTACGGCGCTTCGATTCTTTCCTTGACGGCCGCCTGGATGCACGCCAATGTTAGTGGGCATGCCTACGCAGAAAAAAGTTTGACCATACTGCTTTGGTCCAGTTTGTCTTTTTGTTAATACTTGCAGTTTCGCTGTTGATATTTGGTTGTAATTGTTTATTATTGGATTCTGATAACTCAAGGAGATTTTGGCGTCGGTCTAATTATAACTCTTCCGTCCCTAAATCACCTTTACTGTAATTATCATTACCCCGTACTCAATCTCTAAGCTATTAACCACTCCCAACGCTGACTCTCTTTACCGTCGGGCAAGTTTTTATATCTGATAGTTATTAGCTGAGATTATGTAATCCCGCGGCTGCTTATCCTAGTTAACCAACAACCTTGCAAGAAAAGGCGTTGGACAGTTTGGAAGCTGAACAAGAAGGACAATAACAAGAGGATGATATAATGATAACCGCCAGGATAGGACTACGCGCTCTCACTGCTTACCCTTTGCTTACTCTGCCTCATGATATTTAGCGTCGATGATTAGTTTCGCCTTGTTTAATAGGTGATTGACGGACAACCTCGTTCAAAAGAACCACCAACCCCCTTTTACCATTCGTTCCGTTAAATCTTCATATAGGCGTGCCGATGCCTTGGCCAAAGCTCACTCCGCTTCAATCTCGGTTTGCTGCCTCCCTTGCCGCCACCATCCTCCTCATTATCCTTTATTTTGCTCTCACCAGCCCACACCTCGCTTACGCGGCCGATGTCGATGCGGTGATATTAGAAAGGTATGGCCCTCCGGACTCGCCAGCTATAGATACCCATAGCCAGCAACCTGAGCTAGATGGACGGGGTGCCCTGTTGTCTGAAGAGGACGTTGAAATTGGTCAGAGGGCGGCACCAGGGACAGAGGCTTTGGCGAACAACGTTGCCAAATTAAAGAATATAAAAATCGGGGAGACGCAGTATTGGGTATTCCCCAAGGAAGCTGTGAACGGCCCCAAGTCTCCGCCCACGCCAGGCCTTCCGTCAGACATAAGTCTTGTTCTAGACGGAGGCACAATCCTTAACAATGACGACCCGGACGATTCGGATGATTTGGGTGACATATTCGAACTAGACGAGGGAGATGGGAATCTATTTCGCCGCGCTGTCTCTGTATATATTACCGCAAATACGTGCCTTCAGCCAGGCCTCAATGCCACCCGTGCAGCCAAGGATTCTGGACCCCCTCAACTAGAACTCTACGTGTCTACAAGCAAAACTTTTGACAGACCCGGCCCTCAGTACAAGGACAACTCAGCTGTTATTTACAAACCTTTTGATGGCGGTTATGTTGCTGTAAACCCAAGTGCCGACGGAGACGTATACATTGCCGTTGCCGCTCCAAACAATACTCGATATTCAGGAATATATAACTACGAAATAGCAGCTTCTATTGACGCTCCCTTCCATGGCCTTGATAATACTACTTCCTTTCTTTACTTTGTTGACGGAGACAGCGATGCAGCTCTACTGCAGACAAATGATACCACCCGCGAATCTCCCGACTCCGAAATATATAAGCAATGGCTGGCCCTTGATCCCCCTCCTTTTACATTATTTGCACACAACATGAATGATTCGGCCATAGTAGGCCTTCAGCATTCATTTTGTGGCCTACAAAATAACGCACAAATAAGCAAGAAGCAAAAAAGCCTTGATGTTGGCATGACGGCCCGTGGCATAGATCATAAACCCAAAGAGCAGATCTACGCCAAAGGATTGAACAGCAGCTCTGTCTATTATGGGTTTTTGGCCATGGAGGGAAACTCGACGGCTTATGGGAATAAGGTGGTTGGGGGTGGCGGAAAAGTGTGGAAGGCGATGAATTTCACGACAAAAAGAGGTAAGTTAGAGAGCAACCACTTGACCTATCCGGTCACTACTAATATGTGATCTTAAGAAAACAACTGCGCCATAGTATATAATTTGAAGTTCTGCTCTGAAGTCGCTTACGCGGTGCCATCAAGCCCAGAACTCAATGTCTCCGAACTTAGCGATATTTATGACACTCAAGCCGCTCAGCTATTCCAAAATTTCACCTATTCGCTCCAGCAGATATCTTGCAATGCCCCAGCAACAGAGCAGTACTCCCTCGCAACAAATTGCTCACAGTGTGCAGATGCATATAAACAATGGCTTTGTGCCGTCACCATACCCAGATGCCAAGATTTTTCCAGTGATCTTGCGTTCCTTCGTCCAAGAAATACTGGCCAGCAGTTTCTTAATGGCACCATGCTACCTGATGACTACTCTGGCCGACAAAATGTATTAACCAACTCTTCTAGAAATCCACTGATCGATACCAAAATAAAGCCTGGGCCGTACAAAGAGGTTCTTCCCTGCCAGGACTTATGTTATTCATTAGTTCGAAGCTGTCCTGCATCATTCGGCTTCGGATGCCCCACCGGCCAATGGCTAAACTATTCCTATGGACAGCGAAGCGCCAATGGAGATATCACCTGTAGTTACCTTGGCGCGGCGTACTTCTTGAATTCGGGATGGAAGTCCGCGGATGGAGTGAAATTTATTTTTTCCTTTACATTTGTCTTCTGGGCGCTCGTCTGGGGTATTTTGCACTGGGATTGATCTGAAACGACCTACGAGAGCGGAAGGTGATCGGATAATCGGCACCCCGTCTCAAAAACCAAATCCAAGCGAACTGAACATCTACCATACGTTCATAACAATGAAACGTTCATTTGGGTCTCAATCGTTGTCTGGTCCCGATTCAAATCATGCACGGAAGAAAGATTAATGGTGGACCTCAAAGGATAATTGCAGGTCAATGCTCATACAGTTGAGGATCGAACACAGGATGGTTCTCTGTTACCATATTATGGCCCTTGTCATGGGAGGTCCAGGTCTCAGGAATTTGCAATATGCAGGATAACAGATCCAGTTTCAAATCACCGTACATATATACAGCCTTGTTCCTTGGACCAAGGTCACACGTACATACATACTCCAAGAAGGCCAATATATTTTCACCGCCTGGAGACAAATTTGTCAGAAACAAAGACGGGGGCCGATGAAGCCGGAGATATTTGGAAAGGTTACCGGGGAGGCATGGATTTCAAATTACTGTTGTATAACGGAAGCAAGGTGCATGGCGTGGCCTTTATAATGCCAAGTAGGATGAGAATTCGACGAGGCTATGTCTGAATAATATTAGGTAATAGAAAGCTCGAGTCTCTAAAGTGTTTGGGTTCGTGAATCTATAGTAATCGTAATAATATACAAGGGGTTTGTTGTTGGGATGAAAGACCCAAGATCCAACACTCTATTTGGCCCTTTTGGGTGTGGGTGTCCACATATTCTTTCCACCCGTTGAACCAGACGTCACAGCTCTTCTTGGAGTGCTATTACCCACCTGGGCCCAGAGCCTCTGGGCTGCAGGGGTAAGTGCAGCCCGACCCATGACAGGCGTTTTTGGTATTGAAGATCCATTACCCGATCTCCCAAAGGCGATCATCGGGCTGCTTGGGAACACCGGTACAGGGGTCTTCGTCTCTTTCATCGCCTTCTCGCTTCTATTATTCTTTGCCACCCGTTCCACCATGCGGTGAAGCAATAGTTCTCTCTTCCCGCTCTCTTTGAGCTTGAACGGATTCGGCGTCGAGTCAGTAGCTTGGCTCTCGAGAAGTTTGAGATGATATGCCTCTTCATCCTCGTCAGCATGTTTAACCGAGTGTGGCTCGGGTTCGTCCTCATCAACAAAGGCGTATCCATTTACACGAGGAGTTTCACCGCCAGCGTACCCTGGTTCTGAGTCGGTTGGTCGTGGCCGTCCGGCTATTGCATCACGAACTGCAGATAGGGAAGGTGACGGTGGGACGGTCGAATGCCGGTCTGCATCTACATTTTCGAGCTGCGGCCTAATACGGGTGTTGTGATAGAGGACTTGCTTCTCTCCCATCCGGGATGTAGCCTCTCGTTTTTGCTGAACTGTTTCGACCTCGTCTTCCACGGAAGAAGGGATAAACATCAAGGAATTCTCGGGTTTTGATTTCCAGCCATCAGGTCTGGCGGGACGTTCGTCCGCCACGACCCTGGTATCGGATAGTTTCAAAAGCTGTTTCTCCCTGCTCCCATCCGGCGCGGCCTGCGCTTCAAGTCTCTTTGCTTCCCGCTTTTCATGGACCAGCTGTCTGGCCGACGGGATCTTATTCCCACTCCACAGCCATGCATATTTCTCCCTCTTCTTTGCATTCTGCTTATCAAGTAGCTTGTTGAATGATTCGTTGTCTTCGCTCGTATATTTTTGTTGAAAAGCGCCTAGTCCCATATTCCGTACCTTCGATGGGACCCCTCTGCCTGCGGAGCTTGTGGCAGTCGAGGCCACGCTACCTGGAGTAGCACACGACATCGGGGTATCGCCTTTCCAGCCTCTGGGTGTATTCTTGTTCATAGCTGGGGTTCGGTGGGGGGTCTCCATATTAGACAGGATAGGATCGCTTCCGCGGTGCGGTGTCATGGATGTCCCAGCATATCTCCTCTGCGATCCCGGAGTCATCACCTGCGCCATTCTCCTTCCTGCTGTGGTAATCCATTCCTTGTCTTTCGATTCAAGGGCATCAAGATAATCCCGTTGAGCTTGAGTTTCCAGCAATCCAGGAAAGAAATCCCGGGCGACGATATGGGAAAGGGCGTCGGTGTAATCGTCTTCGTCAAGGGCAACAGGCGGTCGTTTTATCCGCTTCGCTGGTGGCGGAGGAGGCATCAGTTGCGTATCTGACGATCGCTTTGTCACAGCCTGAGACGATGCAGAGGCCATGGTTGTGTACTGAATCTCGTATATTCTGCTGTGTCCCGTCTATAACGCTTCGGTATCGAAGGAAGAATTGTAGGTAAGTTTGATAACGCAGCAACAAAAACAGACTTTGTTCAACTCTATGACGGCGTTTGCGGTTGAATGTCACGTGAGTAACGGAGAATAGTTATAGCGAAATGTTGATTTTAAGTTGTTAGTCATACAATAAGCTTTAATTTTAAGCTTTAAAGTTATGCAAAAAATACTTTGTTTTGTTATTGTTTACATTCTTTAGAAGTTTATCTATCCATTTATAATCGTAATGCAAAGAGCAAGATTCTTAATGAATAAAATTAATCAATTCATGAAAGAGTGATACGCTCCGAAGAATAATAAGGTTTTCCACCACACCGTTCGCAGCACCCATGGTCATGCGAATGCTCACACACTTAGATGCTAGCCAAAAATTATCCAGTTCCCCAAGCCAAATATAAAAAAAAAAAGAATTAACAGCAAACGACAGGCTTAAACAGATGAAAGCAGGTGATGAAAGGCAGGTTTTTGCACACCGTCCGGTCTATTATTGATACCCCTCCCGAGTGATTAAAGCAAGGAAAAGCAGTAGCAGAGAACAAGGTTGGTGCTTGCAAGATGCTAGACATAAGGAAAAATTGGTACAATTAATGATTTGCTCGCATGCCCAGCCGATGATAAATGAACGATGAGACATAAAAATAACTGGTAAAAACCAGCGCGTAAGGCCGGAGGGGATTAGAATATAAATCATGTGCCTGCAAGACTTGCTCGTTATTGACGAAAGGTTTTTGTGGTATAAGGAATGTTAGTAGAAGAGAGAGTTGCCAGCACATGTATGCATGATCATAAGCGTCATTGAATAGGTCAAGGAAAAAGGGTATAAGAAATCACGTCTATGACCAAGGAAGGGATAGTGGGAGGGACTGAGAAGGCAGTACAATGGTACAAAGTTTTCAGCTAACCCTTGGAGATGGTGCTCCAGTAACTGGGAATAGCGAGTATGAAGGACGGTTCTTACGAACTCCGCGGGATAAAGTTGAAGAACGCTTTCGAGCCGTGTTGTTGCTCCTGACGATTGTACAATCGCCAGACTCGAGAACGGATGCAGACTTGGAGCGGTCATGCATTGAAATGGATGGGATGGAGGTAGGCTCGATGGCAGAGACAGAGGCAAACGGCATTCTGGGAACTCCTTCGCGGCCGAGTGGAAGGGGCCGCGAATAAATAGGAGATACAGGAGGACGTGGCATCACTGGTCTATCGGCCAGGGGGCTGGTTGGTATCTCGCGATCCACCATCTCACGACTGCAGTTGGGGCTATGGATAAGGTCAGGAACGCTGTTGGTGGAAGTGGAAGAACGATGTTTCCGCACAATCGAGGCAGCGCGGAACAGCATCATACTCTCCTGGGAGTTGCACTTGCTGAGAGGAGAGGAACCACTTCGGATGTAGACGGGCTCGTCCACGTGATATTCGTCGTCTTCATGGATCACGTGAGAATAGACAGAGTCATGTGATACATCCTCAAAATGGGTTTCCAAAACTTGGATTTCGTTTGTTCTGGGCAGTTTATCAAGAGAGTCCGTGGTGGTGGGGAAAACTCCAAATGAATGGTTGAAGACGGCTGGGCTGGCAACATCGCTCTCAGTTCTGGTCGAAGTGGATATTCCTGATGAGGGTTGGAGCTCTGGCGTGGTCCGACCTGAGGTGGTTGTGTCCAAGGGGTGAAGGTAAAACGAGCCAGAGTTGACCTTGAAACAAGCCGAGGTTTCGCTTTTGCCATGGGCCAAATATTTGTGGTCTCGATGCTCTTCAGAGGAACTTCGGTGCCAGTCGAAATTCGAATTTGATTCGGCGGCATGCTCGTAGCAATAGTCGATGTCGGCCTCCCAAGAGGAGTTTGAAGCATGCATGCCAACTGCTTCAGCAGGTGATTTGGGACCGGCTGGTAGCGTCGACTTGCTTGGTTGATTCGATGGGATGATGGGAGAGTGCATATCTTCACACTCAAAGCGAGTTTCCTCGAGTGGACTCAGGAATAGTGATGGTTTCTTCATCTCTGCTGGGGCCTCGACAACTTCAGGTTCCAGATAAGTATTGTATGGAGTTGGATCGAAAGATATGACATGGCTGTGAGCCAATGGAGAGGTTTCGTCCTGTTCGGGGACGCCATCTAGCTGGACCAGTGAGGAGAGATTAGTGAATGATGTGCTATTCTCGCTGGGGCTAAATGCACGTCCGATTTCTTCAATCGGTTCTGCGACAGGCCTTGGCTCCATGGGCGACACAGCATATCCAACGGCGCCATTGACCGGCTTATCCTCCACTGGAGATAAGGAGAGGCCATTCAGTCCCGCGAGCTCTTCAGCAGGGTCAATTCCACAGCGAACAGATTCGGGACTCGCAGGCATCCTTGACGATCTCCTAGGCGGGGGCACCACAGTAGACGAGAATGGCCGTCGTACGATTCTGGAAACAGGTCGAGAGAAGTTTTCGACCGAATGAGGTGATCTCCTGAGCAGCCGGGCCTCTGGCGAGGATGGGGTCGCCACCTGTGGTGATCCTGGAGGGCTGCGGGTAAAGAGAGAGGGAGCATCAGGGGCGAGAGTATCGAGGCTCCAGTCTGCTTCCTCTTCAGCGGTATAAGGTCGATACGACAAGTTCTGAGCATGTATGCCCTTGAGTTCAGAGTTGGGCCGTTGAGAGGCGCGGATGATTGAAAATTCGGTAGCAAGATCGTGTGGGTGGGTGTGCTCGATGGGTGGTAATTGCCCACGGCTGGTGTGAGTGATGTGTTGAAAGTGGAAGGGCTCTGAGATCCTGCTTTTAAGTTGGGCATCTGCGTATGACATTTGTTAACAAGAAGCAAATAAAGAGAAAGGACGAAAGCATCCTTTCTTTTATTTTGTCTTTAGGGTATGAACATACGGCTGATACTATCTCTCTGCCGGTTGATACGACGCAGAACAGCGGGTTTGTCTCGCTTCGTCTTCTTCTCACCATACCAAACCTGATCGCTCGACATCTCTTCCTCTTCGTCCAAGATGAGGGTATCTGAGAGGTTAAATTTACTTCCCTGACGTCTGAGAATCCGATTACCACGGGAGAAGAATGATTTGCTCAAGCTCTCTTCCTTTTCAAGCGGAAGAACGAAATCGAAGGCACCCTTGCTACCGTCGTAAGATGATCGTTTCGAAGACAGTTCGGCTGACGATGTCATTGACGGGACAGGGGACAAGTTGGAAGAATTGCCAGTGTCGCTTCGAGCGCGAAGGCCTAGCACAGACAAGTGTTTTGGACTGTGGGTGCCAGTGTTGCTGCGATTACGTGAAGGACTCCCTGATCGACTTCTTGAAGCAGCTGACATGAAAGGTAGCTCCCTCACAATCTGGTCATGATACCATTGAGAGGTCGAGGGCCGTGACTGTGTCTGGGATTGAGAAGGAGCAGGAGAGGGCGAGAATGTATTATCAAGAAAGGGCATGGAGACTCCGGCCCACATATTGACAATGGGATATATAATTAAGTTAGACTTCCAGGGAGGACGAGTGTGCGATATAACGGAGACGGAGGGAGACGGCCTAAGGGTGGGCTTGCGTCTCTTTCTCTATCTTCTTGTCACCCTCTCTCCACATACGCCCACGCGAAGGACCAGGGGTCGAGTATGGGAATAAATAAAATAAAAAAAAAAAAAACTGCAAAAAAAGAAAGAGACCAGCAATTGAGAAGTAATCGTCGGAGGATAGGCCTTGTTGGGATGTTGTATGTATGCTTGCCTGGGCAGGCCGGGATTAGGCCTCAGGGAGCAGGCTAGCGAGACACCATAGAAACAGATAATGCCTGAAGGGATTTGTTGATGCGAGCTATCGGTAAGTGAAGCCCTTGGTCAAAGCAAACCTCGCACAGAAACAATCTTAATAGTCTGAGACGTAAGAAGCCAGCGTCTCGGTAGTGTCAGGCCAGATGTTGGATAGGGCGTATAGTTCGAGCAATTGAGGAAGAAAAGCGAATATAAGATGAGCTCTTTTTTTTTTATTTTGGGTAAGGGACACAAACAACCAGTGTATGAGCAAGCGACCCAAAAGTAGGCTCCCTGTGAGAAGTTTAAAAAAAAGGGACCAAGAATTAACCCTCGACAGGGAAGTTATCGTTGGGAATAGGACCAGAAAGGAGAGATAGATATATAGATATCAGGCTGGTGGGATGGGACAGGGCCACGAGCAAGTTATATGTGTATATCAAAAAAGCAGGACGGACCAGGAACAGAGCAGGGCAAGAAGAGAAGAAGTAAAAGAAAAGAAAAGAAACCCGGGGTGTATATGTTGAGGAAAAAAGAGCACTCCGTATAACAAGTAGAAAGCAGAAGAAAAAAACTCGACTTTTTTATCCCGATTGCGGCGGGAGAGTACAATAAGTATTAGCAAAAAGAAAGCCCCCGAGCAGGAGAGAATTAGGGGAGAAGGACTGGACTGGACTCCCAAGGCGTATACATATGCAGAAAATGGAGTCCATTTCTCTCTATCTCTCTCTCCACTCCTCGTTCTAGTCAATGTTTAGTCTCGTCCTCTGGCTTTTGGGGCGGAGTTATCAAGACGAAGTAAGTCCACCTGCAGGAACGGGAACCATGGGAAGGCCTTCTCTCTTTTTTTTTTTTTTTTCCTTTCTTTTTCTGAACGGAGTAACAAGCTCTGCCTCTGTTCTCGTTGCTTTTTTTTTCTTGTCTTTTTTCTTTTTTCTGCTTTTTTTTTGCGTACGGAGCATAACCAGGTACCACGGCAAGGGGTCGAGCAGGCGGAGAGAAGAAGAGCATTATAATGTCGGCCTCATTGGCCATGGCCCATCACCCGGCTAATCCTCCGCTGTGATGGGAATGTGTGTAAGGAGGTTTTACACACGAAATAGCATCCCAGGCCATGCCTGTTATTGTTGTTATTAATATCTTCGTTTCTCCCCTTCATCTTCCCGTCTGGAAAAAAAAAAGCCCTGTCAAGGATTGTGTAGTTATGTATCAAGCTGGCTTCATCCTGAGAGGATCTCAGCATTGCTGATCATCTTGTCTGTACGATCTCAATCGTGTTTGCCATCTTCTCTCTCCCTTACATCGTACACCTGAGGCAAATTCAACAGCTTCTTCCTTTTCTCATGAGGGAAAAAAAAAAAGCTGCAGCAGCAGAAGAGCAATATCTGAAACGTCGTCTTTCGGTTTGATTTTTCTTATGATTCTTCTTTTCTTTTTCTCTCTCTTCTGCCTCTTCTCTTGTGTGTGCCAGCCGTTTCAGCATTGTCATCGAGAAAGTCAACCACTCCAACGGCAGAGAGAGCCAAAGGTAGGCGTCGTATAAGTTGCAGGTATAAAAATAAAAAAAAATCCACCAATCATGGCCTCCTCGCCCTTCCAATCCCTCTCTCCCATTTGTGCGATGCGGCAAGGGGAAGGGAAAAGAAATACAGCGAAAAAGATGCAACGCTACTGCAGCTGGCGCAACGCCGGGCCAACGGAGGAGAAAGGTCGAGCGCGGCCGCCAGAGCAGGAGAAGAGAGGCGCTCAAAGGGCAGCCTGAACCCGACCTCGCCAGTCGCTTGTCTCTTCCAGTCGTGTCATACCTATTCTCTCTATCAGCATCTTCCCACCCCATCCACAGGAGGCCAAACAGAGTAAAGGGAAAGAAGAAGCAAATAAAAAGGGGGCTGGCAGATAGACTTCCAACTAGAAACAACGGCGCAAGGGACTGACTCCATCGGTCTATGCCAGTAGCAGCAAAGCGTCCGACTTACCAGGCAGCGTCATTGGCGGTTCGACATCCCAACACGCCGGGATTGTCTGCCGTCTCCCTCTTTTTTCGTGCTTCTCTCCCACAGGGATGGGTCTGCTTCTGCTCTGATCTGATCTTCCCTCCCTCTCCCTCTCTCTCTTTTGCCTGGCTGGCCGCCTGGACCGCGGGCAAAAGCAAGTGGAACCTGTCCAGAAGGAGAATCTATACACACACGCGCAGGCAAAATAGCAGTCAGGTAAGATGAGAATGGAATTGTTGAAAACGCTGCAAGATGTGGATGGCCGACGGGCTGCCTTCGATCGCCATAACTATCGCCATATCGCCTGGCCGGCTTTCTGGCGTCGTGCAAACGCAGGATGTCTTGTAATTTTTCTTTACATACTATGTATACATCCATACGTTGACATGGACTGCATGATGTATGCGATATCATGTCTTGTGCCGTGCCTAAACGCCCTCGACTGGACCCTTTTTTCCAACAGTCGACTATCTGCACGCCACAGTCACGACGCGGGATGGTTTCTACATGTCAACCGTTGTACATACATGGATCACAGTACTTGCTTGACAGTTGGGCAGATACTCTCGACCTATAGCCGCGGTATAGAGACCGGGTTGGCTTGCCGAAGAGATAACCAGAAGATATACTCAAAAAGGGCCCAGATGAACACAACATATACATATATACACATCTTACTATGTACGGATACTCTGAGCGGGGAAACAAAAAGAAGAAAAGAAAAAAAAAAGAGTGCAAACGCACTTAGCGTCTCTCTACTTGCGGAGAATAAACGGCGTCTGGGGTTTCTGTTTCCAGGCTCATCCATGAAACCGACAAGAAGACATGGCTTGAACGAGAGTCTGATCCAAGACGTTAGGGGCCATGGTCAGGCAGGATACAACGCATCGCAAAGCATAATGACCGCCCTGTAAATAGTACGCTGGCACTATGACTTTGCGCGCAGTGGCTCTGCGGTTAGAGACGAAACGCTCAAACGACAACAGTTGACTGGTCTTGTTTGCTCTGCTCTTGCTTCTTCCCCAGGAAAACGACCGATAAGCTACAACCTATTTAGCAAGAGTTGGCGTGATGATAATAGCAGAGTGATATATATCCACTCCCTGGACGGCCGGACGTTTCTCTCTGGTTGAATGCCATCATTATTATTACGTTTTTGACTGTCGATCCAGGCTACTGTTCAAGCATGACATCAATATCACACCCTCATTATACATCGACCATGTTATCATATACTTACTTTGTACCCCCAGAGTATCCATGGTTAGCGAGATGCGCTCAACCGAAGATCTTCTCTTCTCGATGGAGTATGTCTGCTCGGTAGTGGCAAACCTTCGCCATCTAACCACTTCTACCCACCAAAAAAAAAAATACACATGGCTGACCCCCTTTTTGACAGGCCCGGAGAGTGATGGGGATCGGCAGATGGCTTGCAGTCACTCGCGCGTATATTCCGTGCAACCCACGAACTTCTCCACGTAGGGGATGGGGTTGTCCATGGCCCGAAGTACGGAGGGCAGGCTAAAAAGGTATCCATCGCCTTTTCTCCATCATACCTTCGGAGCGGGGAGAGAGCAAAGTGCGGATACATGTGATGCAAATCATACCATCGGCCGTTATCGAACGTCAAGCCGCATCAGTTTACCGAAGAAGGGAAACACATGAATGGGGAAAAAAAGAGAAGAAGAGAGAACACATGAAAGTCTTCATGCCCGACGAGCTTTGATGCCTGTTGGCCGTTTGACCTATTCGAAGCCACCTCAAGCCACGCCTGCAGCAGATCGTCCCATATGTGCATACTATACACGTACTTCGGAACACAGCGCTGGTATCCGACAGCTTGCTTTTACGCCGCCCATATTTCCGCTCTTCTGGTGCTACGTCCATAGTAGTCACGGAATCCTGCAGTTCGTTCGCTCTGCCTCAAAAACCCATACTCCCATGTGTGCATAAGATTATTATCAAGAATAAAAAAGAGGGCGATGATGTCGCGAACTGGGTCAAAGCACAAACTACCGCGGCCAGTCAGGCGTAACAAACACCACACGGGTAGAGAGGAGAAAAGAAGAAAAGAAAAATAATCCCATTTCTCTGGATAAGGCAGAGTCGCTGCATACGTTTTTCTTCTTTTCCTCCCCCAACGGCCGACCCAAGCGGCCGCTTTCAACCTGTCCAGGTCTACACGTGTGACGGGCTGTTGTCAGTGGTCGAGAGAGCCTTGCGCTTCTTCTTACTTTTTTTTGGTCTCCATATCATTGCGTATACATACTGGAGCAACTTTGGGACACAGTTTAAGCATCATGTTCACGCCTTGCTCCAGCGGCTATCACGCCTGCAGGTACCACTTACGGAGCTTATTCGTGACATATTTGTTTCATGTATATATAAAACACACATGATGGAGCATATACACACCCAGCTCGGCCCCTTTACCGACGTGGATGATAGCTCTCTCGCCCCGAGGCTGCCGAACATATACTGTGTACATACAAAAGTATGTACAACACGGTATGACAGACGCCCTGGCGATGACGATGATACAAGATCCCGCCATATATATATGTTACATCTGGGCTGCAATCGATCAGCCGGTATGACAACTGCACATGTCCGTGGAAGAAGACATGTTGCCCTGCAGAAGATCAGCAAGGAGCCTTGCAGACACCTGATATATTGATGCTGAAAACTGCCTGGTGTCATACTCCTCCTAAATGGGTGAACGCTGGCCCCCTTGTCAGACAAGCAGAGAGCAGGATGAGCTCCCCTTTTTTCATCCTCCTCGCTGGTGTTATGTAAATGTAGGTGAAGGAAGAAAAGGTAAAAACCCAAGGCTAGCAGTTTGATATCGATGTCCATGAGCGGCCGCAGCCGGCCTCCTGCCGCCAGGGTCAAGAAAAAAACGTGTAGGCCATGCTATAACTACACGATCGCCAAGAGCACGTTGCTTGCTGTCGTATATATATATACATACATAGGTAACGGGAATCCTCCCCGTATATAGTATCTCTTTATATATACACGCTGGATGGATATCCCAAAGAATGTATGTTTGCGCTTATGCAAGATGTAGTCCGTCAACGGGCCATCACGAACTTCACGAGAGATCCATGGGAAAGATACCAGCTTTCCCTTCCCCCCTTCCATACCAGGTTCCTGGGAATTCAGCAATGGTCTTCGTATCCTCCTGATGCATGAAGATCGAGAAGGAAACGAGGAACACCCCGCGTCCTCCTCTTGGCCTCCATTTATTATACCACTGTTGCACATACACAGTATATATATATTATATGTACGTACATATATGCCGGACAATAAGTAAGGACAGGCTGCCTCCAAATTTGGAGAATATGGGCGCTCCGACGTGATAGTTAAGCGAGCTGACGGTTATACTGTAGAATGCTCTAGAAAAGAGGGAATACCTTCAAATCACGACTGCATGAAGTTGTCCGCCAGCCCGCTGATGCATTGAAATTCCAATCCCCATTAGGCTATACCCTCGGGGACTTTCGCCAGGAGGAGTATATATTGGTATTAAACCGCTTCTATCCCCTGTGCTTATCCACCCATCCTCCGGACAGGACAAGGCTCCTCAGCCTATGAATACCCCGTCTGACAGGGGACATATGCATGAATTAAGACCCTGCTCATATATATTGTACAATCACATATACAACTCCGTACAGTACATCTGGAAGGCTAATTGATGACCACAGGAAACACCAGCGATCGCGATCACGTCCAAGAATCCAAGACACAGGGATATCTTGCTCGTGAAGCCCAAAGCCAGATCCTTACGATTCTTCCGGAAGCTGCAGGCGTAGCTCCGAGTAAAATACATATAGCTACAAGATCCACAGCCCAGAATCTTTATTATATACAACATTTTGCATTCCGTGGTCCTGGAGAGACTGCTTGTTATCAGCATGTCTCTGACGTGCGTCCGAGATGGGGTATCTCAGTCGTCTCTTTCCCCCAGCGGGATCTAGACATGGGCGGATCTCCAGACAATGAGTACCTTGTCAATAGCACAGGGTGCTAATATTTCCACCAGCATTCCCCTCTCCTCTCCTCTCCACAGCCTATTATCATGGAAGAAAATCAGGAAAGGAAGGAGAAAAAGAGACCAGACTGGCTGATCGCTGCGAAATACGAGCTTTAACCCACCTATACTTTGTCGACTTATAGCTCCCGCACAAATTATGCAAGGAACAAGTGCGTATGGAAGGGCCTCTTTCGGTCTTGAGCGCTCTCATGAAACCTTTTCGACTAGTACGAGAGCGGGATGGAGGGAACAGGGTTCCAGCTCCGTATCCCCGAAGAAGGCTGCTTCTTGGTCCCTTTGTGATGCAACAGGGACACAATCTCATGTCTGCCCTTGTCAAGAAAATGCACGCGTATGGGGAACCTCGGAATGAGAACCCTAACCGTATTTCCTCATGGCAAAAAAAAAAAAGACTATCATAAAAAGAAGCATAAAAATGTAAATTATAGGTAAATTTATGCTTATGCTTCTATTTTTAAGCATTCAGCTTGTGTATATAGATGGATTTGCTTCTGGGCGGCTTCAGTGAGATCATTTCGTTTTCGTGCTTTGATGGTTGGCTCAATTGCTTTTTGTCTCTCTAACCCGGTTAGCTGTCTTGTCGTTTCTTGCGCCTGTTGGTGCGTGCCTTGCCTTGAAACTAGGGTGAAATGCAGGGCATGGATGAAGTAGCTGCATGTGTATATACCACGTATTAGTTACTCTTTTCTCAAGTGCTTCCAGACGTACGGAACAGTGAGAATGTTTATCTTGCTCAGTCTGTCGTGCATGTATTTGCTGTAAATAGCATTAACCCATCAGGAATATAGACATGGGATGATTTCTCCCTTGTAATCCCTGGCCTGTTGATCGGTAGAGCAAGTTCGAAAATATACATATATTCTTCAGCCGTCATTCGACACCATCTCCTCATCCTTCAAGAGGGGGCGGTACCATTCGGCGGATAAAGTAGACACCCTGTCTGTATAAAAGAAAAAGCCATCAGCTGCGTATTCAGCCAGTGTTTTTCCACTCTTGGCTCTGGCTGTCGTCTCATCCACTCCACCACTGAACTCGGCCATATATGCAGAATATGCAGAGAGCCCCTCATCCTACTCTGGTTGGCGGTCCATCCAATGCAATTAAACAATCTGATAAGAGCGAGGATTCAGAGCCACCGCCATACGGTCTGACGTACTTGTTTTATTCTCTGCATGAAGCTAAACGACTCTTCCTGCGCCTGTCTCATTTTTTTTTTTTAGTGAGAAAAAAGAGAGAGAAGGCAACGATATCGACAATTGAACTGGCTTGATATCATGACTCGGTCGAGATGTCAATACATAGTACTTCCGATCGTCCCAAGGTCGAGGGATGCTGGTCGGCACTTTTGACCGCTTTTCTTTTTTTTTTCCCCCTTCTCAGGCACCTCGGGGGGAAGCGGGAGAGCACATTCCAAGTGGTCCATATGGCTGAAGGTTGGCTAACCGACCTGGCAAGCTTGGGACCTGTCAAGCTTGGAAGAGAGTTGAAGGTGGTGGCGGCTCTCTTTTTAGCCCTTCCATCTGTTCCGTGCCTATAAGGTAAGTATGTACGCTCCGAGATTGCCAGACGGCAGGGGAAAGCGGGCCTGGGAAAGACAAAAACAAAAAGATAGCAATATATGTTTAACCAACCGTACCTGCAGCCGAGAGCGATAAAGTTGGGATCAGGCTGTGTCTGAAAGATACACGCACATGAAGCACGGCATGTTTTCACCGATCTTTATCGACGAAATTTGATATTAACTGTAATTCCATTCCGAGGCTCTTGCTGACAGCTTTCCGCAGACCCGAAACGACTGTCCATTCAGACAGGACAATCCGGGAGAAAAGAAAAGGTGTTTTGTCTCCTGGCGTGATGGAAGTCCTATTCCAGCAAACGAAGACTTAGCCTGCGAGACGTGTCACCCACGCCTACCGCAGGCTGGCTCTATCGCTGACAAGCGAGGGGACCAGAGTCGAGAAAAGTCAAGAGGAGCCGAATGGATGGTTTCAAGTTGAAAGGTCTGATGGCAGGTCGCGACAGATATAGCGCCCATTTCTCCCGTTTGACGTCTGCTGGACCTCGTTCCAGTAGAGGGCACTGTCGAGCCATGAAGTTGATAATAATAATAATAATATATAGCCATCTAGTAGCATAATATTTTCATATTCCTCCCTTCATCCGTAGCATCACCACCAACCAACGCCGCCTCTATAAATCAGCTGTATCGTCGTAAACCAAGGCTCTTTCTCTATGTTTCTGTATATGCTGTATATGTTTTACCGATGCCTTTCGATGTCTCTCGAGACATGATGCTCTGCAGTATGTTGTACCGACGGCAATCCTAGCTGTCCAGCATCCCTCGGCTCGACTCCACCGCGCTTGAGGATTCTCCGCATGCAGAGCTCGATCTAATTTCGCGGTTAGCAGATCCTCCCTAAGGAACAAAACATCAACGCCTTCAAACTCGTTGAGAGCTTGCCTGTCGCCTGGCGGCGGTTTTTGTTGTCGCCTTCAGCCTGGTCTGCGAGGAGGAGAGGAGAGAGTGGCAAGGCTGACCTTCTTGTTCAACCTGGATTAAATAAGAAAACACTCTCTCCCCCCGCGCGCGCTTCTTTCCCCTGCGATGACTGCAGCTTTGCCCATCCATATCCATGAACCTTGTCGCACGGCGCATACTATAGAACCTCGATCGATATACTTGGATACTCGACCTCTTCTGGTAGCACAGCGAGAAGAAGCTGTTGGCCTCGCACGATGAACCCGCCGCGGAAGCGTCCGTGGTCAGTTGCAGAGCTATCGTCGAATCCGTCGAACTCGCCTGATACGATACATCCTCTGTCTAATGGCTCTGGTGCCGGCGATATGGCCATGTATAAGTCGCCGGATAGCTTGACGAAGACTCCCAATACCCCTCCGGTTTCGTTTGGCATGGCTCCTCCCGAATCACCCAAGATCAGTGTTGCTGTGACCAGTCGCAAGTCGACGGCATGTCCGGCCTGTAGAAAACAGAAGGTATTGAAAAGAAGAAGAAGAATTCCATACTTCATGAGGAACCTTGCTGATATAGAATGATAGACCAAATGCGTTATGGACGATGACACTCCGCCATGTAAACGTTGCGCGGAACGAGGCCTGGAATGCTCCCCGAACAAGTCCATTCAGGATATCGTGGTAGAGCAGGCGAGGTACGGTATACACCTGAAAGAGTTCGAGCTTGACTGTGAACTTCGGGTTTCTAATATTTTTTAACTCTCAAACAGATGGAATTCTCAGATGAACAAATACTTTTCACACCTCCAAACAGCTCTAAATGAAGCTAGGGCAGCATTGTCTCTTCCTCCAGTATCTGCGGTGGACGAACTTGGCATCAAGGAGGAAGATGGGAAGGCCTCTCAGCGTGAACACGCCGATGAACAATCGAATTCACTAGAGGTTACCATAGAGCAGGACACGCTCGCCTCCGCTCCAATGCGCTCCCTTTACGAAGTCACAAAGTCCAGCGAAGTGCACGAAGGGACGGCTCAATTTTCTGGCTTGGTCATGGAGCCGGATTTTGTCTCGCGCGGGATAATCACCGAAGCAGAGGCAGGTCAACTCACCAAGACTTATTTGACCCGGCTAGACCACTTTTTCTACGATCATTTACAGAAGTATGCAGACATTGGCGAGGTCCGAAAGACATCCACGCTACTTGCATTAACCCTATGCACGGTTGCAGCTTTACATGACCCGTTAGGCACAGAGGTATACGATAAGTTGAGCAGAGAATTGCGTAGTGTGACATCCTCACTCATGTTCCGGAGCCACCTGGGGGTGGAGGATATCAAAGCTCTATGTATGGGCTCTTACTGGCTAGGAAATCTGACCTGGGTACTGTCTGGCCTTGTCCTGAGAAAAGCAATCGGCATGCAGTACCACACGGCACATATGAACCAACCACAGACCGACAAAGAAGGCTTTGGCAAGTCACAGATGTGGCTATTAATATTCCTGGCCAACGAGCAAATATCAATACTCCATGGCTCCCCAGCTTGTGGTGTAGAACCCGGATATATCAACTGGAAAAACCATCTAGCATCCCCGTTTTCTGGGGAGATCGACCTTAGGCTTATCAGCCATATCGACCTCCTTTTGCTTCTGGGAAAGGTACGGCAGACCTATGGGGTAGATGCAATGAAAGCAGTTCCGCTATCACTTATCCCCCAGCTGCGGGACTACCTTGCACAGTTAGATAGATGGTCACAAACGTGGACAGGAAGACTGGCACGGAATAAATGGCTTGGGAACTTCCCCTCACAGGCTGTTAAACTCCATTTCCGATTTGCAAAATTCTTCATATGCTCTCATGCGTTTCGAGGGTTAAATGTGGAATCTGCTTCCATCCCCCTTGCCCCAGAACTACAGGACATTGCAGCATGTGCTGTTACGACCGCCATATCTATTTTGGAACTACTGATTGAATCTGATGAGATACGTGCATACCTTGTTGGAATCCCTCATTATTTCCATACCATGTTTGCGTTTGCTGCCGTTTTCCTGCTCAAAGTTGCGACCCGTAACAGGCAGCATGTCCATGTTGACACGCAATTGGTGTTTCGGACCAGTCGGCGGGTCTTGGAAGTGTTTCAACATTGCCCTTGCGCAAAACAGCATCTAGTGCATCGCATCGCGCAGGGGCTTAAAGAAATGATCGAACGGTGCGAGGGGCAAATCACAACTGAAAGCTCCGGCCACTCCGTAACCAAAGCACTAAACAGGGAGCCGCATATACCGACATCTATGGCGCCTCCACCGGCAACATCTAACCCTGAGATAGCTTCTCAAGAAATGCTTTCGTGGTTTAACTTAGAGAACTTTGACTTCCTATCTATGTCACCACCCACCTGGAATACGGAGTTTTAGTTACGGAATTGGTGGCCATACTTTTGCATTATATATCGAATGAATGCCCGTCCATATGTTGTCTACGGGTAACGGATGATACCCCTGTTGTACATTATTGGCCTTTTGTACATTCCGTTCCCCTTCTCGGTGTTTCTTATTGTCCTTTTTTTTTTTTGGCTAGATATCCTCTGTTGGGCCTCCTTAGAATGCATGGCTTTAAGTGTATATATATTCGGTGATCTAAGCATGATGAGTATGGGGTAAGTATAATAACTGAAATGCAGTTATAGATATTTATTACTTCCTCTATCACATAGTATGCCTCAATACTCTTAACTCTCTCAAGTTAACGGCTAGATAACAGAAGATTTGGCAAAGTATCATGTCTACTCGCACTCTAACTTAACCAATGCCCCTTTCGCCTGGATTTTGCAGAAGTACAGGTCCTCTTCACTCAACATCCAAATACCTCCTTTGACGAAACAGAAATTCGCCGTTGTACGTCCAACAATTATCTTGCCTACCAGAATTCCATTTGGGTCCCAGACATGCACTCCATCCCCACAGCCAGAATACACATACCCCTTCTCATCACATTTAATCCCATCAGGCACCCCCGAATCACAAAATGCAAAGGTCCTCCGGTTAGCAACCCTTGTGCCATTATCAACCACATCATAGACATATATTGTACTAGGGTTTCTGTAGTTGGTTTCGAACTTGTGTCCGTCTCCGGAGTAACTGACGGCCTTCACCGCACCCGTGTCGGTGACATATAAGCGCGAATAGTCCGGGTTGAAGCAGAGTCCATTGCACATGTCGAACCCATCAGCTAAGACTGTGCAGTCCTTTGTCGAGGGTCGATATCTGTATATCTGTGCTGGTAGAACGGGGTCAGGACGAAAGCCCTGCTCGTAGCCATAAGTTGGGTCCGTAAACCAAATGTCCCCCGTACCATGGTGCACCACCACGTCGTTCACAGAGGAGAAATCTCGACCGTGGAAGTTGTTTATCAGGATCTCGGACTCCTTAGTGACAGGATCGACTAGGACCAGGCCTGACGGTGTGGAATGATCTCCCTGGGAGCAATAGAGGATACGATCGGGTTCGTTCCTGTTTCTAGTCGCCCAATGAGTAGAAGCAGTTACCCCTGGATAATTGCATGCTCCATTTGCCTGAACAACTGGTGGATAGTCGAGTTTATCAATCTTGTGTGTCTCGCAGTTGATGGCGTATAGATCAATAGGATCGCATGTCTGGAAGTTGGATGTAAAGTACACGGAGTTGGTCGCGCGAATGTACACGCCCGCTTCATGAGCGAACTGCTCTCCTTTCCCCCTTTTTTCCTCGATAAGCTGTATTCTGGGGTCCGGGCCAATGATGTCTATAAATCGTTCGTCGTAAACACAGAATGAGGGTGTTTTGCTGAAAGAGCGGGCATATTCAGAATCTTTGACAGCGCGGGCCTTGTCGACATGAACAATCTTAGTGATTTCTTGCTTCATGGCTTTTTTTCCAAGCTCGTCGCTTATACTATGTCCTGATAGCAGTCTTATGTTCGACGTTGAAAGATAGTTACTGGTTTTTGGCAGAGTTGATACTTATAGAGGGGCCTTAAATACAGAATCTAACCAGTCACACCAAATCGGCGTTTGCGAAAGGAAATCTCATTAAGAACCAAGAACTGTTATTATAATGGCCTTCGATTCAATTCATAGTAAGACAGGTTAGTTGAAAGGATGATAGTTAGAGTACATTGCTTATTGGGAAGGTTATTTATTAGCTGCCAAATATTTGAAAACGCCAGTATAATGTGCGATTTTTGCTGTAATTTCGTACCACAGGGCAATTGTCATATGAAAGATTCAAAGAGGAAATGGAATATGGAATACAAGATGGTGGCCAGGGAAAACAAAATAATAAAAAGGAAGAAATGCAAGTGAAATCGCTTTGATATCTGGGCTTGCTCACGACGCCACCGGTAAAGAAGACATGAAGAGAAGAAAATGGTAGTAGCAAAACAAAAGACGTATTGGCGGCCACTGGAGAGTACGAAGATGAGATGAGATGGGTTCACTCTTCTTCATCGGTTCCCTTCATTTCAACGTCTTTATTAGCGTCTTCATCAGCTGCAGGCGATTTTTCGTCGAAGAGGTCATCGTCATCGTTGTCTCCAGCAGGAGTAGCCTCTTTTGGCTCCTCTTCTTCATCGTCATCGTCTTCAATTCGTAAATTGGTCTTCTTTCTTCGTCTCTGTACAAGGGCATCTTCATCTTCATCGTCGTTTCCATTTGCTGGTGGCGAGCCGGCCTTGTCACCATTAACTTCAATGTTTTCAGACTCGCTTTCCGATTCAACGACAATTTCAGTACTCTTGAATTTATTCGACTTTGCGTTTCCTCGTCGCTCGAGGCGTCTCCTCTTTCTAGGGGCAGCAGAGCGTTCTTCCTCCTCACCCTCTGTTGACGACCCGGAGTTTCTTGGTTCACTCTCTTGCCTGTTCTTCTCCGCATCTGCCTTTTTCTTTCGTTTGCCGCCCTTGGATTTCTTCTGTTGCCGTTTATACCTTTCTCCTGTCTCGCTGTCAGTGGTGTACTCGGCGGCTTCTCTTGCTCTCTCTTCGTCGATACGGATGGCCGTGAGCCGTTCGGCTTCCTCAATCATTAGCTGTCGTTCTTCAGCGATTTGCCGTTTCCTTTCCTTCTCCGCCTCTTCAGCCTTGCGCTTCTCTTCTTCCCGGCGTTTTATCTCAGCATCACGAAGCTCTCGGGCCTGCTGCAGTTTGGCTGCATTCTTCTCTTCGTACTCCTTTTGGCTCTGCAGGGTTCGCTGAAGTTGGTTGCGGATGGTGTTCCTACACATAGTTGCTCGGGACTCCAGCGAACTGCGAGGATAAGGAGGATTCTTTGAGTTCGCAATCTTATCGAAAGCTTCAATTGCTGCCGTCACACCGTTCATCGCCTCTTCAACTTCTTCAGAGGTCTTTTGGGCTTCGGGAAGACTGATAGCAAGGAGTCCAATCTCATTTTGAACAAACGCAATATTGAATTCGAGATGGATTTGGTCAGGAGCAACGGAGCGAGCGCGCTCGGCATACTCAAGCGCAGTCTTCATAGCCGATAGATTCTGTTCCTGCTTGCCTTTAAGGAACCAGACACGACCGAGACATGCCAGGATCTGGGCATCTCTGGCCCTGTCCTTTGACAGTGATATTTCATACTACTTTTGGTTAGTTGATACTGCGTAAACTGAAGGTTGTGAGTAATATCTGGAGCCACCTACATTTTCGATGGACTTGGTGAACTGTCTCAGCTCTGCAAAGACGTGACCCAAGTTAAGGTAAACGCTTGAATCACGCAGGGTATCTCGAACTTTTGAGAAAATCTGCACAGCAGTCGAATAGTCCTTTCGATCATCAACTAAAGCAATGGCGATGCCTTGAGCAGCATATGCATTCTTCGGATCAAGCTGAAGTGCCTTGTCGAAGAATTCAACTGCCTTCTCATATATCTTGCGTCGTTTCTCTTTATCTTGCTCACCGTCTCGTCTCATGTCTCGACCTGTGAGGAGATACAGATTGCCCATTCCCGTCAAGGCATACCGATCATGTTTGTCGTAACCCTGTAGGGTATGCTTGTAATGTCGTTGTTCAAGATCCTCTGCAAGATTGGCCACACGGCGTTTCGATTTACTGAGATACCAACCGAATAGTGCCCGCACTTCCATGTTGGTTGCTTCTGCTTCGTAAAGTTTTGCCATCTTTTTGGGGCCTTCATCTGTAGGGCTTTGGCGGAGGGCAATGTAGGTAAGCCGGGCGTTGGCTTCAACATAATCGCTGTGTCTCTCCAGTAGCCCTTCGTAGACCTTCTTGGCTTCATTTGGCATACCTGCTGCCTCGTACGTGCGAGCAAGGTTGTAACTGATGGTGGTGACATATGCATCTGTATCAGAGGCATCCTCTCGTTCTTGTGCTTTTACACAAGCATTAAGAGCGGTCTGTAACATGTTTCTCGCCTGTTCAATCTTATCGGCCTGGTACAAAAAGCAGCCGATATTGTTGAGTAGCTGAGGTGCGAGCCTCTCACGAAGGACCTCCGTCATAGCCTTCTCGCCCTCGACATCATCCGGTCGTTCATCTTCAGGAATCTGAGCTAGTTGCATTTCTTCGACCTGGTTGAGGCATTGCATGCTCTTTTCCGGCGCACTAACTTCATACAGTCTAGAAAGATAGAGCAACACAGACTCGTCTGGGGTGAGCTTCTTCTTGTCCGCCTTCCAAGACGTTCGTACAGATTCGAGTAAGGATATCGCCTTTTTCGCTTCCGCCGACTTGTCTTCCTTCGAATTGCTGGCCGCAAACACCTCATCAGCGTAAAGAGAGCCAAGAAGAGCCATGGCTTCAGGGTTCTTGGTCTGCTGGATAATTTTTTCTAGACGGAACTTGGCGCCGTCGAAGTCTTTCCTCTTGACCAGCATCTGGACTGCGCCGAATTTGGCCGGTGGGTATCCCTTGTCAGCTCCGCCTCTTGCCTGGTCCGATCTGTTATAGTATTCCAATGCTCGCTCTGGGTCACCTTCGGTGTGTTCTTTTCTAGCCAGCAGATACCAGCCATCACTCGCAATGGCATTAACATCAGTAAGCTCAATGGCTTTGCGTGCAAGGGCTTCAACGGTAGGGAAGTGTTTGCGGAGAAGGAAATAGCTGCCAAAAGTGGCACAGGTCATCGGGTACTCCTTATCAAGCTTGAATGCCTTCTGGGTGTACTGCGTCATAGCGGTCTTGTAGAGCGAGCTGAATTCGGGATCACTGGTCGAATGCCTTGAGCTATCATGCAAGTAATACGCCGCCAAGAGGATGTTGGCAGCCTTTGAATCAGGGTTCAGCGTCAATGCCCTATTCCACGCAACTTTCGCCTGATCCTTGAAGTCAAGTTGCCATAGACAACACCCAATTCCAATTCTCGGATCTGGATCTCTCATATTTGGCATCTTCACCAGGGCCTCCTGGTACCCTTCTAAAGCCTCGCCATAGCGCCCAAGCATATAGTTTGCTCTTGCGCGGCCCAGAATAGCCATGATATTCCGGCCTCCAAATGCTTTTGAGGACTCGTCGAAACATTTTATAGCTTGTTGCAGGGACTCGACGCGTTCTGAGGTATCGACAGTACCAGGCCTGACCGGTTTGGAGGGAGGTTGCAGGGACGCACGTAGGATAGAAAGCACACCACGAGCAAGAAATAGGGGAGGAAAGGCAGGATTCAACCGTGAAGCCTCGTTCAGAGTCGCTGTTGCAGCTTGTAGATAGAACTCCTTCGTCTTTGCTTCGGAGTACAGCTGGCCCTCCGGAGCAACACGCGGAGCCTGTCTACTTTTAATCAGGTACAGCCAGCAGATCCAGCCCAACAGACTTAGCTTTTCCTTCGTAGCGCCGTGCGCAAGGGAGGCCAGGCCACGAGTGAGAATCTCGATGGCATGGTCGATCTGTTTCTGCTTAGCATATGCCAGAGCAATGATGACCCAGAAGTTCTTTGCGGCCTTTTCGTTGTCAAGGAGAGTGCAGAGCTCTGTAGGGTCGTCCGGAAGTTCTTGCAAGCTGATTTCGACCTCACTGTCGAAGGTAGACGCCGGAATATCAATGGCAGAAGGAATATCAGAGAAGCGAGCAGTTGCAGCGCCTTTGGGCACGGTATCCTGGCCACCGGTGCTGCCGTTGGCAAGGCCGTTCTGGAAGGGTGCCATGACAAGGGCGCGCGCAAAGGGTGTCTGTCGCACTCCGGGGACGGGAGGAAAATTGGTTAGGAGATCTGGGAGGGGCAGGAAGATCTCATCATCTGTTCGTTAAAAGGGCGGAGGAGACAGGTTCGACTCTCGAGAGCGAGACTTGTGTTCAGCCTCTCGCGCAAAGAAGACGAAGAAGAAGAAGCTGGTCGAGCAACACTGATTTTATTCAATTATCAAAGTTGAAGCTTTAATCGCAGCTTGGCGTCACGTGGTATCAAAGGCAAAAGAAAGTGAAGAAATAAGAGAGAAGAATAAAAGGAAATAATTATGAAGTCCGCGGGGACCGATAGCTACTATGATGCACTACAGGTGGTCCTCCTCCGCCAGCCCAACGCCCAAGTAAGATCTATAGCATCATACGATGAGATATCCCTCCTTGACCAACGCCTCACCTAGGGAATGAGATAAAAAGCAAAACAACGCTATCGTAAGTCCAAATCACTGAGAATCAAAACGCCAACTCGTTTTCGTAGTCTTATCATGTCGTTCAGCCATAATACCTCCGGAAGAGCTGGATGAGGATAGCAAGTGCGGCAGGAATGGCAAACACCCTGCAGATCTCGATCCAATAACCAAGCCGAACTTCGCCTTCAACGTATCCATGGTTTTTACCAGAGGTGGTTTGGATATCGGGGCTGTTAGGGTCCATCTCCACCAGGTCTGCATCTTCAAAAGGCGGGAACTTGCCAGTTTCAATGAATGCATCAAGGAGTGCGTCCTTTTCGGCCCAGCGCTCGAACAGCCAGGCTTCAAAGTCTTCTTGCTTATCCAGTGGGATATCAGCAAGGGCAAACCGCCTCCAGTAGAAGTTGACGACCCTTGGCGGACGACACTTTAGGTACGTGGAGCGGATAGTAAAGTAGCTGTCAGGATAGCTTCCTTTCCTGCACGACCTGTCAGTAAATGATGCATGTATGCAGAAAATACAAGAAGACAAATAAGATAGACATACGGTGGGCCCTCGTATCCCATAGTACAGTCATAGACATAGTCGACCGTGCCTTTGAGCTGCTGCAGGCAAAAGTAGAGCCCCGTAGACCGTGGGAGAAGCTCATGCTTGAAAGGAGGGATGGCATTCTTCCGCCCATAATTGTCACTGACTTCTTTAGTATGTATGGACAGGTTTGTTCCTTCAGGGAAGATCAGTAGCCACATGGGGTCGAAGACGGGGGAGCCGGGGGTAGAGTCTCCACGTCGGACGCAGAGCGATTTCAGACGATGCTGCAGCCTGGGTTTATCCGCCATCCACTTGCGGGCCATGAAGATGAAGCCGTAGAGCGTCATCCCCTGTCCAACCAAGGGGATATACTTGAGTGACTCCTTGAGGATGATGTAGATGTGTCCATGCATCTGGTTCGTGTAGGTAACCCACCACAGGTACAGCCAGTCGGTGTATACCTGGTGGTTTGCAATCAAGACCAGCCGGTCAGGAAATCGAGTCTGGATCCCGCCGTTCGACGTGAGAGTGACCTGGCCGAGCACACTCCTGTCACCACTGATCCGGACAGGGGTTGGGGCACTCCACTCGGTCAGCGCAGTGATCGCGAGGCCAAAGGACTCCTTGGTCGTGGCTACGTATGCATTGAAATACTCTCTCTTGACGAGATAGAGCGGCAGGCCGACGACCTGGGCGACCACGATGCAGACGCAGCAGCAGCTGAACCAGGCGACTATGAGAAAGCTGCGGATGAGCTGGGCGAGAATGCCATAGTTTGGCGGCTCTCGCTCATAGATGTGCCTGGATGACTTCATCAGCTCTGGGCCGGCGATCTTCTCGGCCAACGAAGATGTCTTTCGGTGTCTTGCTCGAGGCATCGAGCTGGAGATGTTTAGATATCAGTGGCTGAAGCTGGTGCGAGTCCTAGATCTGGCTCAGGGCAAGCTTGTTCCTTACAGAGCCCTGGCCAGGAATCCGCCGGGTTCCGATATCTAGTTGTTATATTATGACAGCTTAACTATGAGGACGTAGCTAGTCTCTAAAGAGATAAACCACGTGTCAGCCAAGCGTGATGCCGTCACTCTTCACAAAAGCTGGCCAGAAGGTTGGGATGCTGGTGAGATGACAGCAACGGTGGGGAAGACAGAAGCAGGGGAAGAGGAAGAGGGGGAAGAGGAAGAGGAACAAAGGGGCTTCTCTGCCTGTTTGTTATCTATGTCGGCCTTTTCTCAGCTTGTTCATCTTGCTGCCTGACAAAAACTCCCAGGCAAGCACTGCCTGCCTCTCCTTTCTTTCTACGAGGTAACCTCCACTGTGGCCTGTCTTCTCGAGTACGCTGTAACGGTGCTCAACAGCTTGTCTTCTCCTTCTATACCATGACCAACGTCTCTCTCTCTCTCTCTCTATCCTGGTTCTTCTGATCCTTGATGTTCTTGTGTCGTTTTGATGTCATTTTTTATCAGATTCTTTGATCAACCAATGACAAAAAGGATAAAAGGATCAAAATTGACCAACGAGAAGCGATGAACCTTATCCGGCCGGTGAGGATTAACTATGATACGGAGCCAGATTAATGACTAAGCATATACATCCGACTTGAAGTCATAAGAAGCAGAGAAGAGCAAAAGAAAGATAAAGAGTCAAGAACAGAGTCTAGACGGTGTTGGGAGGCCATCTCGACCTATCCAGATCATGCTCGTCCATCGGTGCCGAGGTTCCATCTAGAATCGAACGGAGGAGAGAGGGGAGCCTACGAGCCTGGAGAGCCTGGAGAGGAACCTGAGAAAGGGATCGATATATATATATATTAGTATGGCCTCATTTACATATACATGGCAGATGTGATACTGATGCTCTACATAGACGCTGCCGCGCACCCTTCCCACCGTTTAGAAGAACAAGCCATACCTCGACAGTCACAATGAAGCGTTGTAGCAGTGTATCGGCTGCCATGGCCACTCCCTTTACCCTCTGCCGTCGTACATTTTCCATGGGCTCGAGGTTGCGGCAGATTGAAGATATCAGCACGCTGCCTGGAAGGATATTTCCGAGATATGAAGGTGTGCGTTGGTCTGGCTCGTACTTTTTGCCTGGTATTATCTTTATCCCCTGCTAACCCGAGAGATGACGACGGGTAGAATCAGGAGGAAGTGATCTACTTGCCCTGCAATGGCCCGTCCCGCCAAAGAACATTCTCCTGATGAAGAAGAAAGGCGCCCCCGAAGTGACGCAGTCTGTCATCGAATTCGCAAAGTACGTTTCTTCTCTTACCTACAGGAAGATAATATACTCAAATTTCCCTCCCTAGTCATATCAAATCGAACTACTCGCCGTTATCTGTGATTCTCGAACGGGATACGGCCACCGAGATACATGAGTCCCTCCCGTTCCCCGTATACACTAACACGTCTGACTCGCCCATACCCCCGGAAAAGGTAGACCTGATAGTTACGTTGGGCGGAGACGGAACCATCCTACGTGCATCTTCGCTCTTTGCAACATCCAAGACCGTTCCCCCGATACTGTCGTTCAGCATGGGCACACTGGGGTTTCTAGGAGAATGGAAATTCTCTGAGTACAAAGGAGCGTTTCGAGAGGTCTACATGTCCGGTGCTGGACTTGGCGAGCGAGCTCTTGCGCTCGAGGACGGTTCGCCTCTCGCTGTTGACGGTGAACAGGCTGCGGGAGGCTGGTCGTCTCTGCGGGGAAAGTCCATGGGTATGTCAAGGAGTGCACGTATCCTGGTCCGCAGCAGATTACGGGTAGGCGTGTTTGCACCAGACGGAGAGCCGGTACACAGCAACGGGGTCACCCTCTCCTCGCCCAACGATGCCGACACAGGTGTCTATGCGATGAACGAGGTGGTGATCCACCGCGGTAGACAGCCGCATCTCGCCATCGTCGAGGTCTTCGTTGGCGGCCGCTTCCTGACCGAGGCCGTTGCAGACGGCATGATCGTCGCCACGCCAACAGGGAGCACGGCATACAGCCTCTCATGCGGAGGCAGCATCATACACCCGCTCGTCTCCTCTCTCCTGCTCACGCCCATCTGTGCACGAAGCCTAAGTTTCCGATCCCTGGTCGTGCCGTCCAGAACGCCGGTGACGCTTCGGTTGAGTGAGAAGAACCGCGGACGGGAAGTAGAAGTCAGCATCGACGGGGTCGCCATGACCCAGGGCCTGCGGGTCGGCATGGAAGTGCGTGTCTGGGGCGAGGAGATCAAAGTCATGGACGGAGCGTGGCACGGTGGCGTACCGTGTGTGATGCGCAAGACCGTTGGTGAAGGCGATGCTGCCGACGGCTGGGTAGGTGGCCTCAACGGCCTTTTGAAATTCAACTACCCCTTTGGCTCGGAGTCATGATGCATCTACGTACATACAATGTGCACTCACTTTTTTTTTTTTAAATCCCATCTCCATCTCTTCTCTTGGCCTGCATTCTTACTATGCTCTCTTCGCTGTTGGTGATCTTCCATTCCAACCCCTGTGTTAATCCACATCCCATCCTAGTATCCAGAGGAATCCTTACATCGTAGCATCGGCCAAAGGATCTCCCTTGGACAGCTTCACAGCATACACACATATAATCCTTATCTACCGACCTGAACCCGCATCCCACACGTCTAATGAAACCGTTTAGAGTTGGCATCGTACAACTCTTGCTATATGTACGGAGTGTATAAATATGGAACATGCTTTGTACCTACATAGTCCGACTCTTATGTCTCAACGGGCCGTCGGGGTGTAAAAGGGAAAAAAAAAGGGGCGAGCAGCCGGAAGTTGAAACATTCAGAGTATAAGTAGATGCATGTATGTACCCGCAACTCCATATAAGTGCATGCATGCATGCATCTTCTATACGGGAGCCTGCCAGCTTCTCCGTATTTACTCATGTAGCTTCTCCAGAGACGGTCAGGATAGCTTCTGCTTTCGTTGCACCGGTCCTGGCACATAGATATATTGATCTTGAATCTGATAGATAGAAAAGCCCCCCGAAGAGACGGCATCTTCCCCTATCTCTGCGCGGAAAGAGGAAGACGGGCCAGAAGAGCCTTGACGGGATCCGTTAGTCAACTAAATCCAACTCTGTCCAGGGGGGGCTATATAGTAGTTGGTTAGTATGCGCTGAGTTCTCCATCCCGGGCCTGGGATGTTCTGTTCACTCCTCTCTATAGTCCATGTATACACACACACTCCCATCTATGATTGCAGGAGACGAATACGTAACGACAATAGCAGGCTTGTATCATCTTATTCAACCTCGTCTTCCTCTTCTTCTTCTCTTGGTCCACCCATCCTCGCCGCACATCTCCTATCGAACAGGGGGCTGTATCACTTTTGCCAGTCAAACCAATATATAATTCCCGTCCTTTTTTGCCAGCAGGGAACAGCTTCCTGGGTGAGTCGTCTCTCTGTCTCTGCTCTCTGTCTCTTCTCCGGCGTCTTGACATCAAAAGTCGATCCCTCCTTTAGCGCTTCCCGCCCTCCCCTTGGCCCCCCTGGGTTGAACCAACTCGAACCAAAAAAAAAAAAAAAAAGAGCAACTTCTCGCCTTTTCTCTCTCCAACAAATTAAAATAACAGCATCTTCGTCCTCTCCCGCCTTTCTCTTCGTCTTCTCTCTGCTGCTGCTTCTTCTTCGACGCCTGCACGCCTACTGTAACGCCTAAAGGGCCAGCCAGACGCAACAGCCGAAACTCTTCCCCTTCGCCTCCCCCCCTAACCACCAAAAAATCCACATCTTCGCCGGACAAGAAACAGATCCTCGATACGGCGCTTCTCTGCTACCGTGGCAGGTCGTGTTGCCCTCGTCGACGTGCCGGATGTCTTGCTGAGGATATAATAATAATAGTAATAGCAGCGAAGGCATGGCTTCATCACCGTCAAAGTGAGTCCCCCCCTTGCCCCTCAAGGCCTGCAGGCGTTGGAACCCATGTCATGAGAGAACGAGAGAGAGAGAGGAAAAAAAAGCAAGGAAGACAGGACTTGGTTATGTTTAATATAAGATACTTACCTACGATCCTACGGCTCGCTTGGTGATGTTTCTGTTACGTTGTTGCTAATATTTCCGTCTACCCAGTATGTATTCGCGCGAGCAGTTCATGAACCCGGGGCCGGCACCTCGACCTCCCACGGACCGGCCCCAGCTGAGCTCAGTGTCGACGATGTCTTCTTCTGTATCTTCTGCAGCTACGACCTTTGATCGGATGAACATCAATTCTCCCTCGACCCCGTCTCTCTCCATATTCCCGAACTCGTCTTCGCTCTCGCTCAGCCAAAAGACCACCGGCCAGGGAGGCGTGGCTGTGATCAAGGAGGGATATGTTAGGTGCAAGGAGGACAAGTTCCTCGCCAGCTGGAACCAGCGGTATCTGGTCTTACGCGAGTTTCGCCTCGATTTCCTCAAGAATGAGACCGGCAAGAGCGTGCTCTCGATCCAGCTCAACAACGTCATGAACGTGACACGATCAGAGGACACCAAGATGGCGTTCGAGATCACCAGGGTTGCCAACCCAAAGGATGCAAACGCCCGTAGCCCGTTGGGCGGACGGGATGTCGCTACCAAGACCATTACATGCGAGGTAAAGAGTGACGATGAGATTTACGACTGGATCGATAAGATATACGAGCGGTGTCCGGGCATGGGGGGAGTGAGTAACCCTACCAACTTCAGCCATCAGATCCACGTCGGATTCGACCCCCAGACAGGAGCCTTCGTTGGCCTTCCGCCGGAGTGGGAGAAGCTTCTGACGGCATCGGCCATCACAAAGGAAGACTACAAGAAGAACCCCCAGGCCGTCATCGAGGTCCTGGAGTTCTACTCCGACATCAAGATGCGTGAGCAGAACCCTCAGTACTTCCCTGGAATGAGCAATCCTTCTCCATCGCCACATAACATGCAGCCTCTGCGCAGCCATGGCGTAGCTCCCCCCAGACCACCTCCGCCACAGGGACTACAGCGCCTTGATACCAGCCAGTCCACACGCTCACACGACGACAGGTCCCCAGGTGGGTCTCCTGCACAGTCGTCACAGCGTAAGGCCTCGGACGCTGCCGACCGCTCCCACGACCAGCAATACACCCCAGACCGCTCCAAGGAAATGCCACATCCAGACCAGAGACGAAAAATGGAGGAAGAAGCTCGTCGTATCCGTGAAGCGCAGAGGCAGCGTGAAGAAGAGCAGAACCGGCGAGAACAGGAAGCTTACAATGCATCTCTGCCCAAGACTCGAGTACCAATTGCACAGCAGGAGCTTGGCGGATATGGCGGTCCACGGGAGTCGCCCAGCACATCCGGTAGCAGATATAACCCCTCTCGACCTGCTCCACAGGCTCCCTCAAGCGACCGATCCCGACAGCCACACCAAGACCCGAGACAGATAACCGCCCAGCGCCCTGCTCCTTCTCCACCAAGTAATGGAGCCCCCTCATCACATTCCAGAGATGATTATGGAAGCAGTCAGCGCAGTGCTCATCGCCCAGAACAGGGCCGTCAGCAGCCATCTGCCTCACGCTACGCAGGGAACGACAACCGCAGTCCAGCTCGCAGCCAGCCACGCCAGCCAAACGGCTCCTCTAACCAGCCACCCAGCCGTCTCCCAGCTCCGGTCCAGGCTGTCAAACCGCTCAATGTCGCCAACAAGCATGGCCCTACCAACAAAGCCAATGGAGTCTCAGATGGCGTCCGTCAAGCTGAGGTCGCTTTGACCAAGAAGCCAGACCCATCCCGCCAAAAGGATGTCCGGATGTCGACAATGTCGGAGAGTGAGGTTATGGAAAGACTCCGACAGGTGGTTTCAAAAGAGAATCCAAACGAGTCATACAGCAAGCAACGAAAGATTGGACAGGGTGCGTCTGGATCCGTGTACGTTGCTCGCGTCAAGGAGAACGCAAGTTCGCCTGTCGCTCGTGAGCTGTACCGCACACACGGCCCTCGTGGACAGGTTGCTATCAAACAAATGGATCTGAGAAGCCAGCCTCGCAAGGAACTTATCGTCAACGAGATCATTGTTATGAAAGACAGCCAGCATCCGAACATTGTCAACTTCCTAGACTCGTTTTTGCAAGAGTCGAGCAATGAGCTCTGGGTGGTTATGGAGTTCATGGAAGGAGGAGCTTTGACCGACGTTATTGAACAGAACCCCGTGATCCAAGAGGACCAGATCTCAACCATCTGTTACGAGGTAAGATTCACCTTGTAGATCTCTCGATGCAATTACATCATTACTAACCCCTGTTGCTAGACATGCAAAGGCCTAGCCCATCTACACGGCCAAAACATTATCCACCGTGACATCAAGAGTGACAACGTCCTCTTAGATAGGGTCGGAAACGTGAAAATTAGTAAGACCTCCCACCATCAATTCACAGCGTTTTAAAATATACCTTTCTAACCCATACGTCTGCAGCGGACTTTGGTTTCTGTGCCAAACTTACCGAGTCCAAGAGCAAGCGTGCAACCATGGTCGGAACTCCATACTGGATGGCCCCAGAGGTCGTCAAGCAGAAAGAATACGGTCCCAGAGTAGACGTATGGTCTCTCGGAATCATGGCAATCGAGTTAATCGAGTCCGAACCACCATACCTGAACGAGGAACCACTCAAGGCATTATATCTCATCGCCACAAACGGCACTCCATGTCTCAAGAAGCCAGAGAAACTGAGCAAGGAACTCAAGTCCTTCCTCAGTGTGTGCCTTTGTGTCGATGTTAGAAGCCGTGCCTCATCTGATGAATTATTGTCACACGAATTCCTTAAGAACGGATGTAGTTTAGCCAGCCTTGCCGAACTACTACGATTCAAGAAGAACTCCTCTAACTAGAGTGATGGAAACAGGTCTGGTCTTTTTTTCCACCCCTGGGCTTTATTCTTCCTCTTTTCTTTTTCTACGCAATTTGAACATTCTCCCGTTTTTTCTATTTTTTTTCTTTTTTTTTTTTCTTTTTGACTTTTCAATGGGACGAATGGGAGAATTTATACCTCTTTCATGCAAAGGGAGGAGGATTTTCTGTGTTTACTGCCTGATTTTCCTTCTCATTTTTGACGATTTTGATTTTTCTTCTTTTTTTTCTTGCTTTTTCCTCTTTGCTTGATTCTGATTTCAGTTGCTCTGGGTACCTTATGGCCAAAATATACGATTCTATAATGAACAACGATGATAAAGGAGCACTTGGGAATCGAAATGAAGCTTTGATAGATGTCTTATTTTCCTGATTGCGGGCTAGATAATAGCGAGGTCAATGGTTAAGCAGCTATTTTTGGATCGGCTAATCATTCGATGGCCCTGCAGAGATTTACTATTGAGCTTGTTCTTTTCTTTTCTCACCCTGTCCGGGGATCAGCTGTTGATAACTCTGTACAGATCAAAATTCATTCTTCTGTGCAACTAGTGAAATATTTACATATTGATCCTGCGGAAGACCAAATAATAGCAAGTACAATATTGGGGTTGTCTCAATTCTATATAATTCAAGGAAGTAGAAACCTAGAAATCTGAAATTTCATTGCTCATGAACCGTCCATGGCATCATCCATCCAGTCCTATCTAAACATCTTCTCATTTAAGCCACCTCAAGAAATTATCAGACTTTAGAAAAATGAAGCCTTACCCGCTACATAGCCTTAATAACCCATTTAGCATTCAAAGTCGTCATGATACCAGGGCCCCGAAAGTGTCGTACGAACGTATATATGTAATCCTTAGATATATGCATAGATCAAGCCATTATGTGGCCAACAAATCCAGCTAATTCGCCAAAGAGTACACCGCGGAGTAAAACCTCACCCTCGTCCAGTGCCCAGTGCCCCGCATCTGCTAGCTTTTTCTTCCATATCCTGCGCTGTTCTTCGGATAGGTCTTCCCATTTCTTAGTTTCCGAGTAATCTATCCCATGCCCCTTCTCTCCTCTATCCGGGAGAACCGTAGACTGAGCTGATATTTCTGACCCGAGGTCGTGGACAACAATGGCTTCACGTGGCTGTTCGGACGCAGGATCAGCTCCCTCCCGGGATTGTGATAGTGAAGATATAAGCTCCTGAAGCGGTTGGGAAGTGGTTTTGACTTGAGGGATATCTTTTAACGAGTGAGTAGCGGGGTGAATATTTGGATGGCCATTTTCAAACATGTATGGGCGTGCTAGCATTTCACGAAGACGTGGACTCAGCCAGTTTGTAGCACCTAGAGTAGGAGGAACGCCACCTCGAATCTCTGTAAAAGCTTGAAGGAAGAAAGCACCCAATGCGACGACAAATATGGCAACTAAAGAACTAAATATGGTGTTGGCTAGTTCTGAGGGGCCGGGGTTAACAAGGACATATCGTGGATGTTTGGAAGTAGTGGGATAAGGTGATAGAGGAAAGGTGTGAACAATGACCGTATTTCCCACGCTAACAGATGCCAATTTTACGAACTGGGGCCGTACTTCCGATGTAACGGGTAGAGTTGGAGAAATGAAGGTCGAAAACGCGATTTTTGTCATTGAAAACGGATGGACATCGGTAAAAGTGGTGTAATGTTGTAATTTTCCAACTTGGCCCTTGAGTGCAGACTCAAGCGTCAGTACCTCAATAGACATATCACTGCCTGATACAGCAATGATACACTGATTTTCTCCGGATAACGATTGGGATAATCGACATATATCCAAACCTAGACCAATCTTCATTGACCTATGTAGGCGTCTCCTTCGGCTAACCGTCCATTTCGATACATGATTAGACAATGAGATGACCAGCAGCTCACATCCGGTACGACCGTGGTAATTTTGTAGCAAAAGGAGGGTACTTGGGGTAATAAATCGCAGAGCTCTGATTTTGCTGCTTTTCCGTCCTCCGGCGATTTTATATATAGAATTCACTTGCAAGTTGGATTTTGAAGATATCGAGACGTTCGACAGATAGACCTCTTGCCCGTCTGTGTATGCGAGTTTGAAGGTACCATCCTCGCTTGTGTCTATAATATCCACGTCCTCCACCTCTTCTTGTGCTCCTAACATTACACGTCCCAGGACATTTGGCATAGCAACAGATTGGACATCTGCTTCAAAGAGAACAAGCTCACCACGGGGGGCTAAGCCGGTCGCGATTGCGCCTATACGCCGCGAGTCTTCGCCTTTCCATGGGGAAAGTCGCAAAACCCGCTGATATGCCTCTCCCTCTGCAGTTTTTGACGCCTGTGGCCTAAATAACGAGACCTGGGATAGGGCTCTCGTCTTTGGTTCGCTAGTCGTTGCATCATTACCGCCGGGGTCTCCATTACTTAAATTTATTGTGGGCTTCCGCCTTGAAGGGTATGTGATTTCGAAAGACCGCAGATGTTTGTTGTTTTCTCGTTTCTGTTCGGCCTGGGAACTATTTATTCCTGCGAGAGCGACAACATCATTATTGCTGCACTGTAAAACACCCAGGGACGTGACGGAGTCTTCTTCACGGGAGAGCTCAATTTCGACTACCTCCGATATAACTTCGCGCCGTGACGTATCGAGAAGGGACTAGACAAGCAACGAATAGACTATATCAGCAACTATTATATCTTCATCGAACAGGCTATATGCGCCTGCTGCTTGTATCTCTCTAGATTGGTTATCCTTACGATTTTGTTGCCAACGCCACTGCGTCCTTCACCACCGCCCCCTCCAACCAGCAGAAACCCATGGTTGTGAGGGTCGAAATCAGCCGCAAAAAGCGGACATGAAAGCGTTATCTTGGAAGAAGTGATTTTTGGCGCCATTATATCATGCTAGACCGCAGGGTTTGATCAACGATATTCACTCCGTGCTTATGCTGACGGAGATCTGTATAATATTTAAAGGAGATGTTTTGGTCTCTGTTGGGGAAGAAGCTGCTAACCGCTTTTGGATGAGCGGCTCAAGACTTTAATATGACATCACAAAAGTCAATTGATAGTGTTTTCATGTGTTATTATTATTTTGATGTTTACAACAATGTGTTTAACGTATTTGCCTAGAGAGTATGTATGGATTTACTCAATCTCCTGGCCTGTGAACTCTGGAAGTCGTTTTAGGATATCTTCCCAGGTCTCGTCTCCATCGACTAGGCTCTTAATGGCGTTGCAGATTTCATCTTCACTGGCGCGGACCTGTTTCGTGGTGTCTCGGTCACGGAGTGTGAAGGTGTTGTCCTTTACGGATTGGAAATCGGCCGTGATACCGAACGGCGTTCCAAGCTCGTCATTTCTTGAGTAACGTTTACCAATACTTGCTGACGAATCATCGACACGGTTGGAAACGCCGAGGCGGCGTAGTTTAAGGGTTAGGCGTTGGATGAGTGGCTGGAATGATGCATGAGTGGAAAGAGGGACCAGCAGAACCTTGGTAGGGGCAACGGCTGGTGGGAAAGAAAGTACCTAGAAGGCAATCATTAACATTTGTTCCAACAGTAAAAATAGGGGGGTTGATCACTTACACCGCGAGCTTCATCATCTGGCCTTGACCAGTACGCGTGCTCCATCAAACAGTAGAGAATCCTACCAATTCCGAATGATGGTTCGATAACATTAGGAGTATATTCTCGAACATTTTCTACCCTTGTACGCTTTTCGATCTGAACAAGGTCTTTGCCAATCTCAACTGTACCTTCGCCAACTCCCTCTACGGCGATCTCTATCTTGCCATTCTTTTCAAGGTCAAAAGAAAGTTTCTCTCGAACATCTTGAGTCAGAGCCTCAATTGCGGCTTCGACGGTTTTGCTATCCTTCTTGAAGCGAGGCCCGAACTTCTTCTTGTCAATATCAACCAGCCATTCCTCAATTCGAAGTGGCTCTGCTCTTGTCTGCCTCACAACGAGGGGTGCGCCGGTCTTGTTTTTGTGGACAGTCAAATCGTAAGCACTTCTGTCAGCGCAGCCAACGCATTCGATCCAACCATAACTTGTAAACAATTCTGCATCCCAGCAGTCGGTTGCGTAATGTGCCATTTCATTTTGCATATGTTGGCGCCATCGAATCTTTGACTCGTCAATGCCGATCTTCTTGAGGAATAGGTAGATGCGGGCAAGGAAGTATCCCAAAGTCTCGTTGTCTACAAGACCGGTTGAGACAGCCTTTCCAATACTCATCTTTGTTGTAGTTGTGCTACCGGAGAGTTGGACCTCACGGTTTAAGAAGGCCAACTCCACATCCTGCACTTCGTGGAAACGAGGATGCTTCTTTCCACCCTCAGGATCCACGAAATGTTCGATCTCTGCCATCAGAAATTCACGTACGCGCAAGAGGCCGGAGCGCGGGGAGATTTCGTTACGGAAAGATTTACCAATACAGGCAGATGCAAAGGGCATAGACTGCTGGTTGAACTCGAGGAGCTTCTGGAAGTTAAGAAACTGTCCCTGAGCGGTCTCTGGTCGAAGGTAACCGGGGAGGTTGCTGCTTGGGCCAATAGCTGTTTGGAACATGAGATTGAACGAAACTGGTGGCAGCAGTTCGCCATTGGTGGCAGGGTTCCTGATGTCGTATTTGACAATGAGGGCACCCAGTTCCGGGCCATCATAGTTGTCAATCTGAGCCAGCACTTCTTCATATTCGGTCACGACAGCATCATCTAGCTTGACAACCTTGGTTTCCTTGACCTTCTTCTTCCTCTTTGCGTCCTTCTCTTCGTCCACCACCACCTTCTGGCCACGGGCTTCCTTGTCACCCTTCAACCTCGATTCAAGAACCTCTTCCACTAGATGATCTGCTCGGAATATCTCTCCAGTCTTTGGGTCCTTGCACATCCAGTCGGCAAACTTGTCGACATGGCCGCTAGTCTTCAGAACGTCATGGGGGGTGAGCATAGAGGTGTCGACTTCCAGCATGTCCTCCTCCAAAACAAAGTGTTTCCTCCACAAATCGACAACGTTAGCCTGGAGAGCGCATCCTGGAGGGCCATAGTCGTATAGACCAGATACCCCACCATAAATTTCGAAGGAGGGAGTAAAGAATAGTCGTCTACGGAGAAGACTCTCGCATACAGAGCGGTCGAAGGGCTGACCAGACTTGGTGGTAGCCATATTGGCAACGGGTGGTGGTTTTGTAGATATTTGTGCGCTCTGGAAGACTAAGTTGCTGATATGACTGGTTCGTGGGTTTAGTTGTGTTCGGTAGAGCCGTGAGAAGACGCGAGGGAGCCGGAATTGGTTCATCCAAAGATCAGATGCAACAACAAGAAGCAGAAAGAAGGACAGAAAGTCGCAGGAAAACAGAGCGGGAAACGAAGGAGAAAAGGGAGAGGCCTTTTAATATATTACTACAAAGCTTGTAGATTAATTATGAATCATTCATTTATTTTACAGTCATTTTTTTTCTAAACGGAAAAACCTTCCAATGTTGGCGACGTTGTCCGGCAAAAATTTAATCCATAAAACTCTAAAAAGCTTAAAAAAAAAAAGGAACGAAATTAGTAGATAAAAGATAAAAAAAAGTGTTTGAACGTGAGAAAACCGTTTAAGACGGCTTCGGAGTTGAAAATGGGCAGATCTAACGGGCATCGGCCATCTGGGATGGACTATAAACCAACGAACAAGCTGAAAAGACAACAACTTCATATTAAGCGCAAACAAACCAAAGACGCAGAGACACGAACATTTCGGTTCGCTAGACGGAAAGAAGAAGCAAAGAACCCTCAATTAAAAGCTGAGCGGCTGAAGCGGAATGTCCCCTTGACTCTGGAAAGGAAACGGATTTGGGATGATGCTGGTAGCGATGTTGAAGACGGGTTGGGCTTGAGCTTCGACGTGGAGAGAATAAAGCGACGAAAGCAGGAAGCAGAGCTGGAGCAGAAAAATAAAGATGATTCGATACCCTCAGAAAATGAAGATGAAGCTGGCAGCGGAGACAATGCTTCAGATGATGTTGACAGCATGATTGATTTTGACAGTGGTGAAGAGGACGGAGAGGAAGAAAAAGAAGACAAACCAAGTCAGAAAGGAGGTCCTCAGAGTAAAAACCGAGTCCCCTCTGCTACTGAACGAGCAACGAGTCCTACACAGTCGACTCGAAGTACTAATATCGATCTTGCCCCTGATGCGCTTGCGGCCAAATTCCCTAGCCTTTTTCCCACTGAAGCTCCTCCACCGCCGAAGATACTAATCACGACCTCACTAAATTCGACCCTCCATAAAGAAGCAAAAGTCTTGACAGAGTTCTTCCCCAACAGTGTCTATATCCGCCGCTCAGCGCATAGATATAGTCATAAATTCTCTATACGTGAGATTTCGTCGTTTGCCGCCAATAGAAATTATACCGCCGTTGTGGTGCTGGAGGAAGACCTGAAGCGAGTCTCTGGCCTGACAATAGTACATCTTCCTATCGGGCCAACATTTCACTTTTCCATTAGCAACTGGGTAGAGGGCAAAAGGCTCCCAGGCCATGGAAATCCAACCAGCCACTGGCCCGAGCTTATCCTCAATAATTTTCGGACCCCGCTTGGTTTATTAACCGCTCACCTATTCCGCACCCTTTTTCCACCCCAGCCAGATTTGCAGGGGAGACAGGTCGTTACTTTACATAATCAGCGTGATTACATATTTGTTCGACGGCATAGATACATATTCCGTGACAAAAGAGAGACCGAGAAACGCGTGGTTGACGCCAATGGAGTAGAAATGAAAGGCGTGGAAGGCATCCGTGCAGGTTTACAAGAACTTGGCCCGCGGTTTACCCTGAAATTGCGAAGAATAGACAAAGGGATTCAGAGGAAGAGTGGTCAAGATTGGGAGTGGAAGGGCCGAATGGAAAAGGTCCGAACGAAGTTCCAGCTCTAGATGATACCCCTTTTTATGTAAATGTTGATGTTTGGGATTGCAATCACAATGCTATCTATCTATGTGGTATACACCTTTAGTATTTATATGTCAAAAGTGTTGCATGCTGTCATATGGACTGGGATAATATACGGCTTGTCAAAGCTGTCGATTAATAATAGCTAATCGGTAATTAGCTACTTCCGCAGTATGGATCGTCATCCCAGCCTCTGTCTATTGTCAAGCCACCTCATCACCATGTTGATATGACCTCACATTGATATGTTAAGATAAAAAAGTCTGATAGCAGTTCTAGCTTCTCCTCGTTAGTCGACAATTCACACAGAGACGAGGGAAGCTATTGGCATGTTTTCAGATGGCAACAGCAAACTTTGCCAGGAGGAAGAACAGTGGGCAAAAAACGAAACCTGACCTATAAATGTGATATAATGTTGGTAGATGATACCTATCTATGGCCAGCCAAGGTCTGCGTACCAGCTCTAGCTCCACGAATTGACATTGCAATCGTGACAATTCAAGTCTTTGAAACCTGCCCAGTTACAAAGGCGACTATGGCTTGCCTGAATGTATTCAAGTTCACTAGGATTTCTATCGACCCCTTGTCAACCTCCTAAGCGAGTACCCTCGACCTGATATTTGGAATAACAAAAAGGCTACCCAACGCCCAGTTTTCGATGTATTATCACTGCTAGGGGATAGAGATAAAGGCATAGCCATTGGTGTCCTGACACCAGACTTTAAAAAGTCCACAGACAACACTGCAAATGATGGTAACTTTTTACAAGTGGATGAGAACTAAGGAGGATCATCCAGGTCAATAATGGAAATCTTGTCGAGGTATGCCATCTCAAGAGAATGGTTTAGAAGATGTCTACAGACATTCATCCCTAATGGCGATGCAGTATTTATTCTCGCGCCTTTCATGTTTGGCGAGCGTGGATTACCATACTGTGCAGTCCGGTTTGATCACATTCGAAAGAATCAGGAGAATAGTTAGCAGTGCCGGATTATGAGCAGCCAATGGATGCACTCAGACATCTACCTGGTAGAGAGCGATTGGATGCGTTTTGGAGGTGGAATAGAGAAAATATCCAGACGAAAAAGGGCAGCGGTTTACCTGTACCCATAGATAGCTTATAGGCAAGCAAAGGGTCTTCTGCCTTCTCTATTCAACAATTTCTACTAACATCGTTATAATCCTGAAAAACTCTTCATCTCTTTTACTGGTTCTCTTTTTATCTAGCTAGATATTGTCGTAACTCAGCCCAGTTGGGGATATAGGTGAACAGACAACCCAATGAATATAAATGAAACAAATCTTATACAAAAAAATATTGAACACAGTAAATGCTTAATGGATACAATACAGTTATATACCCTATGGCTAACCAAAACATATCGTTTATCTGCCGTTTAACGTTATGCAACTTAAGAAACCATAGATAGGGAAGGGTAATAATAGTAAGCCAAACATAAGCTAAGGATGAAGAAAGGGACAAAAAGGCGTTAGTTCCAAATCAAAAGTGAAGGGTGGGAGGTATTATTATGGTTATCAAACAATACACTAGTCTGCTTGATAATACAGAGTGTCAAATTATTAGGCTGAAAGAAATTGTGTTTCAGGTTGTGTTTGAGGAAGAGGGCACAAAAGGGGGAAGTTACTGATTCTAGGGGTTTAGCCATGTTGTTTATCTATTTCGTTTGTGAATATGGCTGCACATTTAGGAAGAGTTAGATAAAAGTGTTTGATTCCCTGCCATTCACTCTATGGCCAAAGCATGACTAGACTGCCTGCTGCGCAAAATGGGAAAAATAGACGCTTGATATTCAATGTTCAAATGCTCCCCTCACCTATGTTTTTTTGTTGGTCACCACATTGGTCAAGGCTCCTGTCAGGGATATCTGCAGGGAGTGGAGGGGGTGGAGGGGCTGGTGGGGATTCGTATGAATTTTCCTTTCCGGGTGACCTGGAGCCAAGTGTGTTTTCATCTTCAGGGTCAAATTCCTCGTCTCGCTTTCTCTTCAACCCTCCATCCATATCATGTACTTCCATGGAATCATCAGGGCTCATTGGTGGTGGAGGCGGCGGAGGGACCGGAGGAGATTCAGATCTTTGCCGTTTAGAAGGTGATGACACATCAAAGCCGTCAATGTTCTCTTCTCGCATCGCATCCTCGACCTCACGTTTCCTTTTTAGGCTCCCTCCTGATGTCACCTCCTCTTCTTCGCGAGGTGATAAGCCCTGAGTGTCTTCCTGACTGGCCTCGTCATTATCCGATAAGTTGGCATCGCCTTCACCATCACTCTCATCAAGTTTATCGGTGCTGGGGATAGCTTGTTCCCGAGAGCCATTATCTGACCGCCTGTTCTGTTTGCTCTTGTACTCGGCTTTCTTCTTCTCGTATACTTGGTGCTTAACAACAGCCTTTTCAAAGTATTCCTTGCAAAACTTTTTCACCTGTTTTACCTGCTTGTCGCTAACTTTCGTAGGATCACTGACGCGGTTATTCTTAAAATCTGAATTCACAAGCTTTTTCGCAACCTAGAAATCAGACGGTGTTAGTTCTATATAGCTCATTATGCGTAGGGTTTTTTTTACAGATTAAGTAACTTACCTCCTTTGCGTAGCGTTTCAGGTCATCCTTGGGCAACTTGTTTTTAAATTTATCCACTACATACTTGACATGCGGGAACAGCTAAAGAATACTAAGAATTAGTTTGACACTATCAAAATGAAGCTGAAAAAGGCGTACCGTATTTTCATAGACCTTCTTCTGTTTCTCTTCGCTGAACGATTTCCATTTCTGCCTGTGTTCCTTCTTTTCCGGAATTTCGGCAGGAGTTGCTGGTGTAGCAGACACATCCTTATCTTTAGATTTGGGAGTATCTTCTTTTGAATTCATGATCCCATCGATAATGTCCTGCAATGTCTTATCCTTTGACTCAGGTTTTGGCGGCGGCGGCGGTTGTGGAGCAGGAGTTGTTGGTCTAACCCAAGTAGTATCTCCTCGGGCAGAGTAATAATATGTCTTCCCATTTGCCTCCGCAGCGAACCATCCGGAAGGCAGAGGGTTAAATGGGCGGCGGAATGGCCGTGGGTTTGGATGGTATGAGTTTCTGTGATTCTTTCCACCTCTGTTAAGGGCTGCTGGGCCTCGGGGGGCAACTTTGGTAGGGTCAGGAGATCTTGGAGATTTGGTGCGTGACTTCGACCTCGACTTTCGTGGCCGATCTTCACGTTCACGCATTTCTCGGCGTTCGAATTGCTTTGCAGAGGGGATATTGGCAGTTAACGTAGGGTCTCTCTTCATTCGAGGAATTCGGTAGCCAACTTCAAGCGCAGACCAAGTCTCAAGGAGCGAAGCGGCTCGTTTTTCGACTCTCTCATCGCCACATTCAGTCAATGGCTTGACGGTATTCTCAATCTTGGAGTCGATGATTTTGTTGCGCGTAAGTCGAGGAAATCTGTCCAAGATCTCGAGAATCTGCAAGACGACGTTGAAGTCTTCCTTCCAGGCAGCAAGCTGGGAGTTGAGGATTTGGTAACCATGCATTTTAACAATCCTGTTAATGACCCGTTCATCATCACAGCGTTGAATCCGGCCCAAAAGCTTAACAGCAATCCATTTCTCTTTGCATTGCATGAGGGTTGCCATAACCTTTGTGACACCCTCTTCATCCAGCGATTTGGGCTGAAATCTGTCGACATATTCTTCATCATCTTCAGCAGTTTTCTTCTTCTTTGGACGTTTAGGAAGAGCAGTGTCCCAGCTATCCAGGTCATCAATTCCCAATGCCTCAATGGTGGCATTAGATAGCTTCGTTGCTCGTTCTGTTTGTGTTTTCCCACCAATATAACCGAGGCAGTTTGCCTCGCCACAGTAACATGGTTGTGGGTCGGCACCATATCTGTCGACGTTATAGTTAAAGACCAATTCTTCGCCGGCCTTGACATGCCTCTCAGCAAATATGCCCATGCGAAGCTTCTCTCCGACAACCCATTTGTCGATATAGCAATTAGGATTGCAGGAATGGTTGCAGAACCGTCCTAAGTTGCCTTTTCTAGTTGCATCAACAAATTCTCCCTTATTCAGGGACATGAAATAGAAATGCTTAATGCCCTCCTCATCGTACTGGATCATACGCTTTCGGAACTGCGGTTCATTGATAACTTCACCAATATATTCAAAGATGAAGTCATTCGGCTGTAAATCAGTGTTTGCTCGTAGGCCAAAGCCCTTTTTCTCTGTTTTAATAACGGTCACATCCGCATATTGTCGTTTCTGGAAGCGTTGATTTTGGCAATTATCACCACAGCCACAGTTTTGAACGCATTCCATCTTTGTGGCCCTATTTATGCAATCTGAATTTTCTCCACAGGCCTCGTTTATTCCTGTCTTGGAGTCTATAGCATTTCTGATTAGTTCATGCTCAATTATTTAGAAATCGAAACAAACGGCTGTAGCCGAAGTAAATCAACGAAGATCACAAGATAATCCCCGATCACGTAAAAAGATGTTTATGTGAGAAAATAGGGTAAACTGGATTCATGTAGGAGAAATCACTTACTCCACTCTTCAGCGCAGTCGCATTCCATAGCATGGTCCGTATAGCCCATATTCTTATTTGAATACGTGCATGCATCTATTACTTGAAAAAGGGAGGTCGCCTCTGCTGTGCTGTCTGGGAGATGGTCGAACATCTGGGGTTGCCGTGGAACAACTTTTTTTGAGGCGGAGCGAGCCAGTTTTGGAGGCTGGCCTGGCTCTTGTTTGACGGTGATATCACCTCCAACTTTTTCTTCGGGCTCTTCATCTTTCAAAGCAGAAGATGGTCTGTCGGGGGATGAAACTGCTGACTTTGCTGGTGCGGCAGGAGTACCATTGGCCTCTCCATTTTTCGAGGGCCTGCCGTTGGGGGATACTCCCTCAGTCGAACTGTCCCGCTCCAGTTTCATCCCTATCACCGCATCCGCTACGGATTCTGCCTTCACATCAATATCGTCATGGTGAGCCATGAGGCTGGCAGAAGTAAGCTCCCCTTGGGGTGAAATGGACGTCTACTGCCTGACGATGATGTAATGATCGAACCTAGCGAGTGAGGCTAGAGATAAAAGTTTCAGTGGCACCGAGTTCCTCATCAACACCAACTACGCTCCTGGCGTGTTGTTGCCCTTGACGGTTGTTGCTGGTGCTTCTGGATCGAAAATCTACTGCCAAGACGGCTGTCAACCATGTAGCCCCTACCGCAAAAAAATTCGCCGAACTGCCACTGCCTCCAGGCTGAGAGATGGATGGCAGCGCAGTAGGGCGATGGGATAGCGAGGCTCAAAGGAATGCCGTGAAGATGGTTAAGATGTCGAGCTTTTTCGATTGCTTCGTCCTTTTTTTTAATGGGGATTTTTCCGAACTTTTTGGGTGAACGAAATGACGAAAAGGGCAGTGGCACAGTGGCAATAGTGGAAATACGGGAATAAGGAGAGATAAGACGACCTCGAGGCCACAAACGAGGGTTGATATAGGCTTGTCAGGCATGCGCAGAGTGCGCAAAACGGATAGAAAAGCCAGGAAACAGTGTAAAAGGGAATGAGACTCGGCGATAGAAATGTAGGGATGCCGTTTTCTGGAGTTCCCTTTCGAGTCAATAGTCGCTGGAGAGAGACGCTGATTTCAAGTGAATAGCCAGCATCAGGCTTTCCAAAGAGACATGTCCTCTTCACGTAACGTTTCAATTCCGTCCTCCTGTAGAGTCCCTCTCTATGTATCTCAGGTGTTGTTTGGGAGGTTTTCCTCTTTTTTAACTCCTCTTGCTGTTCAGATGGTGGTATGGTAAGCCCCCAGCCGGCATCTTCTCAATGTCAAATTTCAATCGTCTAACAACAGTTCCAGACAGGAAACTGATATAATCTCTTCAGATGTCTTATTTTTCCCATATGGAATTGCCCGAGACAGGGAAAAAAAAGGAAGGCCGGTTATTGACAGCCGTGATAAAAGATGAAGTGAGGTTGAAGATTTTCTCAAAGGAAAAAAAGTTGTTAAGGTGGTGGCTTTAGGTGAGTGGCAGTAACACTAGCTTCAAAAACTCCTTGCAGAAAAGAAAAAAAAAAAACGAGACCAACCGCAAGTCTCCTGGCCCTCAACCACTCACTAACTAGAACTAATAACATGCTGGTCCTTCATTCAGGCGGAACGGACCTTCCAGCCCTTGTACATACATCGGGCAAACGATCATCCTCAACCCATGGTTTATCATATTGAAGAAGTCTTTCGCAGTATCCAGCCTGCGTTTTCCTTGGAGGTTCCGATACCCATAAACTCAGTTGCCCGCTCTTGGTAAATGGATTGAAGCTGGGTACAGTAATATACCTTGGAGCGCCCAAGACGTTCATGAAGACGAAGTCACCGTTCAACGAGGTTGGGAATATGAGGACAGCCATAAGTTGCCCCCCAGGCGCCGCATATCCTAATCAAAAGCATGCATGTCATAGACACGAGACAGCCTGCCAAGGTTCAAAAGTGAATCGACGAGGATTGGATTCTGGTCAAGACGACAGAATTACCAAGCTGGTATACAGTTTGTGGGTTGGTAAAGTCACATTCACTATACACCTTGTTCTCGATGTCTGTTGGTTGCATCCTCCTTGTATGACAGCAACACTAGAGACGTAAATCAGAGAAATCATAGATGTTTTCGCGATTTTTTAAATATATGGTGGATAAAAATCCGGGTTAATTGCACGACGTAACCGCAAACCAGTCAAACCAACAGTTTAAATAAGGAGCAATTGGGTTTGCACATCGGTGGTGTAGGTGCTATCAGAGAGAATCGTACCCTGGAGGAAAGCCGTTACTGCATCACATCAGAGTTGGGGCCATATTTGCGACACGTTAGGCAAAAAAGTTTTGTGTAAATGAGCAAAACATCGGATAAAAGAGAAGTGTTTCAATAGCCTGGGGAGACTGCTGAGCTCTTAGGGTAAACCGCGGGTGAGGTGAAAAGGGGCGGATACTTACCTGCAGAAACTGTTGGCAAAAAAACAAGGTATCCGCTAGTTATTATATAACATCCAGTATATAAGGATAATATTCCTTTCCTGTATTGATTGTAGAAGGTTCACAATTGGCCGTCATGATTTTGGCATATTATGTGAAAACGCAACCTGAAACGCAAAAACGGGAGAGAAGCGTAAATTCCCAGGTTTCCAATTGGGCACAGCAATGTCCAAGGCTCAATTAAATTAAACTGACAGGCTCCTTGGTATGCATGTTAAACAGAATGCTGTTGCTTGGTTCGTCGGCTGCAACTAAGTTTCGAAGGGTTGTGAGACTGACGGGAGATTTGCGGGTAAGGCTGATTTA